AGGAAGACGAGGAGGATAATGATGATGAAGATGAGGAGGAGGATGAGGGGGATGATGATGATGATGATGATGATGATGATGATGATGATGATGATGATGATGATGATGATGATGATGATGATGATTATTCTGATGATGATGATGATGATGATGATGATGATGATGATGATGATGATGATGATGATGATGATGATGATGATGATGATGATGATGATGATGATGATGATGCCTTGTACTTGTACGGAAATCCTTGAGAGCGGAGTGGGACAGAAGTTGAGGCCAAACAACTATCGGGGCGTGGTGGGGGCAGCGGCAGGCATAAATGGTAGATCCATTCGTTTTTGCTTCTTTTTTTTTCCGTCCTATCTTGGCTCTAGCTTCAAAGGCGCGGCTCCCGCGGCGGACCCCCCATGTTCGAGTGGGCGGTGCAGCGCGGGTGACAGTACGCCGCGCAGGGCTTGGTGAACTACAGCGCGCGGCGCCCAGCCGCTGGCTGTTCTGGTTCGTGTGCGGCGTGGGCTTCGGGCTTGCGACGGCCGCTGCGCTGCGGAGCGCTCGGCAGGCTGCTCGGTGCCGCGGCAGGCGCAGGCGGGCGGCCATCCAGGACTACGTGGACCGAGGGCCTGCCTCGGTGAAGGATGGCGACGTGGGCGTACATGCCGTACACCAGGGGCGGCCCACGGCAGGTCTGTCATCAGAGGCTGGTGCTCGGGCAGGTGGCATTATCGGTAGCTAGCCTCTTCGTGATCGGCACCCCCGACCTGCACGGGCTCGCGGAGGTCTACAGTGCCGGGTCAGCCGTCGTCGCGGCCGTGAGGTGGGCAACGGCTCTCAACGTGCTGCCGGACGGCATCCCTCCCGGGGACGTCTACCGCTTCTGGGCGGGGCCGACGGTGGTGCAGCGGGCCGCCTTCCTCGCCGCGGCGGTGTCCGAGGGGGTTGTGGCTGTTGGTGCGACCGACGGCCGTGGGGCTGCCGGCTGGGTCGCCGACGAGTGCTTCGACGGTTTCCGCGACGGGGACGACGTGGCGCACCAGGCCGAGGCAGGCGCCATCGGGGACAAGGACATCCACCAGCTGGCGGGCGGCTCTGGCTTCTTCGGGCAGTCCTTACGGCCGAGCGACGTACAGGAGTTCTTCGCCCGCATCGTGGCCGTCGACGCCCGCATCCTGCCGGTGCGCCGCAGCGGGCTGGGGCGACGGGGGCGAACGTGGGCGGACATGTTTGCCGCTGCGACGAAGGAGGATTTCGACAAGGACTGGTCGCTCAGTGGCGAACGAGCGGCCGAGTGGAGCCTGGAGCACATCAACTCGGAGGGCAACGGTTTGGGGGTTCACCACGATCGGATTCGATCGCTGTGTCGCCTGGTGCCCACCGCCTGGGAGACGGCCGAGCTCCTCCACCTCACGGCGGCGGACGAGGCCGGCATCCTCGGCGTCCAGCTCGACGGCACGAACCTCGTCATCGTGAAGATGCTGCTGAAGAGGATGCAGACCATTGAGGTCGCCCACCTGGAGTGGGCTAAGGAGGCCGCGTCAGGAGGATACGGTGGGCGTCTCAGCGTCGAGGAACAGCACGCGTTCCCGGGGCCCTGCCGGGGCTCGGGGGCTCGGGGCAGCTGATGATTGGTCCAGAGCTCCTGAACGTGGTTCTTGTCGGCGTGGAGCGGGAGGCGCAGCTCAGCACGGCCCTGCGGAAGGGCTGCAAGGAGCGAGTCGCAGCCCGCAAGAAGGGCGGGGACGACAGGTCGTGAGCCTCCGCCGACTCCCACATCTGAGGTTGGCTCGCGCTGCTCTGAGGGTGCAGTGCCGGCCTCTTGTTCTCTGTTCGCCCTCCTCCTCCTGTCCTCTGGGCTTCTCCCCCTCATGCACACATCTGCGCCTCGCGCTCCCGGCGTCCGGGGGGCGCGAGGGCCCCGAGTGCAGCCGCCCTACGAAGCTTTTAATTACGGGGACGAGCCCTCCCGTGCGGTGCCTCGCGACATCTTGCCGCTGCCGCGGCCGGCGGTGGAGCGGTATCGGGGTACCGACGGGGGGCTCTCCCGTGCCGTCCGACAGCGTCTGGGGAAGCGCGAGAGTTTTGAGATGGACTGTGACCGTGCCGTCCACGCAGTGAACTCGCTCTATCTTCACCAGGACCAGCCCCCCGTCGGCCAGGGCGCCGACCGTGCAGTTTTTGTTTCGCTGGGCCAGCGCCACTGTCTCGATAGAGTTCGGGACTCCGTCGTTGCTCTCGGCCCGCCTCCGCCGGAGGTCACTCCCGCAGAAGCTCTTCGGAAGCTTCGCGTGGCGAGCTGGTATGATGTGGATTCTGCCGTGCTCGGTTCCTATAACCTCGCTAGCGTCTCGCTCCCCTCTGGCTCGCCCGCACCGGTACCGCTCGAGGATCTGTGGGGCGTGGGCGGGTCGGACATGATTAGGGACTTCGTCCAAAGCCGATTGCTACCGTCTAGTGAGGTAGAAACTCGTTTGAAAAATTCTCAGGTGGCGGTGCCATATAGTGATCCGAAGCTGCGTCGGGTCGCGGCCTTTGAGGAGTTCATCCGTGCACTGCAGCAGCGTGGCATGGTAGATTTCAGCTTCTCGGCCAAGGAAAGGGTTGAAGCTTTTTTCGTGCACGAGAAAAATGGGGAGCTCCGGCTGGTAGTGGACTGTCGTAGAAGCAACTGTCATTTCCAGGACCCCGCCCCCGTTTCCCTCCTCACCGGCGAAGGCCTGGCTGGGCTGGAGCTCGGCGAGGGAGAGGAGTTGCATGTTGGCGGGGCCGATTTGTCTGGCGCTTTTATACATATATCGGCGCACCGGGTCCGGGGGCCCGGGGCCGGGACCTCGACCGCAAATGTGCACCCCGGGGGGCCCGGGGGCTCGTCGGGGCTTGCCGGGGGCCTCCCCAGTCAGACAAGACGGCCCAAGAAGCGCCCAAGACGGCCCAAGAAACTTCCAAGAGGCTTCCAAGAGGGCTCCGAGATGCTGAAGATGGCCTCCAGACGTCCAAGGACGCCCCCAAGAGGCCCCAATAAGCCTCCAACATTGCGTCCCAAGAGGGCCCCTAGACGCAAGGATTGGCCCATTCACTTTTTTTTTTTTTTCGTCGCTAAAACGTACACATTTCAACAATTTGTCTTTTTTCGGCTTTCCGACGTTACAGGACGGCCCAAGAGGCGCCCAAGACCGCCCCAAGACGGCCCAAGAAGCTTCCAAGAGGGCCCCAGGACAGCCAAGAGGGCCCCAAGACGGCCAAGAGGCGCCCAAGATGGCCCAAGAGGGCCCCAAGACGGGCCCAAGAGGGGGCCCAGAGGGGGACCACGAACCGCAAGCTCGAGCCTTCCGCCCCAAGAGGCCGCCAGGAGGCCCCCAGGGGGCCCCTCAAGAGGCCCCAGGAGACCCCAGACGTCCAAGGACGCCCCCAAGAGGCTCCAAGAAGCCTCCAACATGCGTCCCAAGAGGGCCCCTAGACGCAAGAATTGGCCCATTCCCTTCGTAAAACGTACATTTTTGACAAAGTCGCCTTTTGGGCTTTCCGACGTTACAGGACGGGCCAAGAGGCGCCCAAGACCGCCCCAAGACCGCCCAAGAAGTTTCCCAGAGGGCCCCAGGACAGCCCAAGAGGGCCCCAAGACGGCCCAAGAGGCGCCCAAGATGGCCCAAGAGGGCCCCAAGACGGGCCCAAGAGGGGCCCAGAGGGGGACCACGAACCGCAAGCTCGAGCCTTCCGCCCCAAGAGGCCGCCAGGAGGCCCCCAGGAGGCCCCTCAAGAGGCCCCAGGAGACCCCAGACGTCCAAGGACGCCCCCAAGAGGCCCCAAGAAGCCTCCAACATGCGTCCCAAGAGGGCCCCTAGATGCAAAAATTGGCCCATTCCCTTCGTAAAACGTACATGTTCAACAACGTTGTCTTTTGGGCTTTCCGACGTTACAGGACGGCCCAAGAGGCGCCCAAGACCGCCCCAAGACGGCCCAAGAAGCTTCCATGAGGGCCCCAGGACAGCCCAAGAGGGCCCCAAGACGGCCCAAGAGGCGCCCAAGATGGCCCAAGAGGGCCCCAAGACGGGCACAAGAGGGGGCCCAGAGGGGGACCACGAACCGCAAGCTCGAGCCTTCCGCCCCAAGAGGCCGCCAGGAGGCCCCAAGGAGGCCCCTCAAGAGGCCCCAGGAGACCCCCAAAAGGCCCAAAGGAGGCCCAAGACAGCCCAAGAGGGCCCCAGACGGCCCAAGAGGCGCCCAAGATGGCCCAAGAGGGCCCCAAGACGGGCCCAAGAGGGGGCCCAGAGGGGAACCACGAACCGCAAGCTCGAGCCTTCCGCCCCAAGAGGCCGCCAAGAGGCCCCCAGGAGGCCCCTCAAGAGGCCCCAGGAGACCCCAGACGTCCAAGGACGCCCCCACGACGCTTCGCGTCACCAATTTCTTCTCACAACGGTTCCTGGGTCTGTGACTCGACAGAACCTAAGCGCGCGCGAAGCGCGCGCGTGGTTCTAGTACATGTATAGAGAAGCTATGATTCAGTATGCTGTGTGTGGAGAACTGTCCTTATTTGTATTCTGCAATTTTAGGCAGTCGGTAGGCGATAGCAAGTAGTAATGCAGTCGCACAGTGAGCAGTGCCGTGCACATGGTAGGAAAACAAGTTGTCTGGGTATGAGCAATGTCATGTTTGTAGTCTTCCCTTCTTGCCCTGTTGCTTCTCCCTGGGGTATGCCGTAGACGGGCTCCACTTCCAGGTATGAAGAGGGTTGTAAGCAAACGTAGTATGCCACTTTATGTGCCTTGTATGGTTGGCCTTCTTGCTTCTCCCCGCGGTATGTCCAATGAGGCTTTCTTTCCAGCTATGAAGCGGGCCGTATCCATGAGACAGTGAGTCAGGTCCGTCCTTCCTCCTCTTTCCCCTCCTCCTCCTCCTCCTCCTCCTCATCTCTGTTACTCTCGCCTTCCCCTCCTCAATCTCCTTCCTTGCTCCTCTTGTCTCCTGTCTCAGGCCTCCTGCCCGCGCCCCCTTCGGCAGTGGAGGGCGCCGTGGGCGCCATCGTGGCCGTTCGGGCTCACCGTCAGACTGGGCGCGCCGCCGCCGCCGCCATGCCCTTCGGGGGTGTCCGAGAGGCAACAGAAAGGGGAGGAGAGAACAGGGAAGGGGGAGGAGGTGGTGTGCGAGAATGGGGCAGGGAGGAAGGATACAGTTTCCTGACAGACCGGCGAGTACCGCTGTCCCTACAGCTCAGAGTATAGCTTTCAATGCAGCGCTTAGTGCTGCCCCCTACTCCAGCTTCTATAGGAGGCCGTACTGCAGCCAGTAGCACAGTGCCCCTACAGCTGCTCCTCCTGGAGCTCCCAGTGCAACTCCGACTACAACTCCTACAACAGTGCCTTCTGCAACCCCTACAGTCATTCATTCTCGTTAGCCACTAGTAGTACAGATCTCACTACAACAGCTCGTGCTACTCCCACTACAACCACGAGCAGTACCACGTTACACATCAGATGGCATATCCTTGTGCAGCTAATATTGCAACTCCCACTGCAGCCAGTAGAACAGAGTTCCATCATGTTCCTGGTCGAATTCGTCCTAACGTTTCAACCACAGACAGTACAGTCCCCAATGCAGTCCGCAATGCATCCCCCACTGCAGTTCCTAGTTCAGTTCTCCACGCAGGCACCAGTATACAACTCCCACTACAGCTCCTATTTTACTGTGTACGACATATCTGAATACAGTCGCTATTGCATGTCCCGGACATTGTCACGAGTACATTGCTCACTGCAGATCCTACTACAGTGGGCAAGGGAACTCTCACAGCAGGTCTTCCATTGCCCCTATTACGGTTTTACATCTCCGACTACAGCCAGTAGTGCGGGGCACCCCCGCGATGACCACTGCGTCGATGCCCGAGCAGTTTCATTGATAGGTCGTTGTGGTTCGGGTGGCCGACCTCGGCCTGCAGACTCGCGCGCATACGGCACTCGGCCTGAGACAACACAAGAGAGAGAGAGAGGGAGAAGCAGATCACCACGTAAGCTGAGATATGTGCCTATGGCTCTATGCACATAGACATGTGTGTGTTCTACGTGGACAGAGAGATGTTATGAGAGAGGGAGTCCTAACAACAAAAGAGAAGAGTGATACACACATGTATGCAGGTGCCTAGATGGAAATACATAGAGATAGCACAACACAACAAAACCGCACGTACACGGATGTATAAACATACACATTTGTAGATGCATAGATGTATATACGTGTGTCAAGAATGAGGGGACGAAATACGTATGCATAGATATACACATACATGGAGATAGAGAGCAGCAACCATAGAGGTAGAGAGAGAGAGATGATGTAAAACGAAGCATGCACGCTACTATGCATGTATGAACGTGCATGCATACATACATATATATATGTGTATATATATATACATACATATACATACACACATATCAGTAGGGGGGGGGGGGGGGGGGGGGCAAAATCGGTGCCGTCATCCCCCATGGCCGCCCCCCCGCACTTTTGGGGTGTCAGAGACCCCTTGGGACTGTCCCGGGCCGCTTCCAAATTGCCCACGACAGGCCACGCGGGCAGTACAGATGGTCAAGAAAGCCTGAAGACGCCCAAGAGCGCCCCAAGAGGGCCCGTGAGGGCCCCAAGAGGGTCTTCAAGAGGCACAAATCGGCCCATTTCCTTAGTGAAACGTGCATTTTCGGGATACTCGCTGGCTCCGTCTTCGCAATGCCCCAGACGCCCCCGCGGAGCCCCAACACAGCCCAAGAGAGTCCCAAGAGGGCCCCAGACGGCCCAAAAGGGTTGTCCTGTGAGGCTCACGGAACCCTCCAAGACGGCCCCAAGAGGCTCCGAAGCCGGCCCAGGAGGCCCCCAAGACGGCCCCAGGGAGGCCCCCAAGACGGCCCCAGGGAGGCCCAAGAGGGCCTCGTTCGAGATCATGTTCCCGGAAGCCTCTCCGGGAACATGACTTCCGGGTTCCAAGGACGCCCAAGAGGCCCACAAGACAGCCTCGGCGAGGCCCCAGCCGAAGAGGACCCCGAGAGGGCCTTCAAGAGGCAAAAAAATGTCCATTTCCTTTGTAAAACGTACGTTTTCAGCATGCTCGCTTGCTTCGTCTTCGCAGTGCCCCAGACGCCCCCGCGGAGCCCCAACACAGCCCAAGGGAGACCCAAGAGGGCCCCAGACGGCCCAAAAGGGCCGGCCCGCGGGCTGACGGAACCCCCCAAGACGGCCCAAGAGGCCCCGAAGCCAGCCCAGGAGGCCCCCAAGACGCCTCAGGGAGGCCCAAGAGGGCCCCGTTCGAAATCATGGTCCCGGAAGCCTCTCCGGGAACATGACTTCTGGGCTCCCGGGGCCCCCTACTGGGCCCCAGGACGGCCTCGGCGAGGCCCAAGAGGGCCCGAGATGGCTTGAAGATGGCCGAAGAGGACCCCGGGAGGGCCTTCAAGAGGCAAAAGTCAGCCCATTTCCGTTGTGAAACGTATATTTTCGGGATGCTCGCCGGCTTCGTCTTCACAGTACCCCAGACGCCCCCGCGGAGCCCCAAGACAGCCCAAGAGAGACCCAAGAGGGCCCAAGACGGCCTGTGGGGCTCACGGAACCCTCCAAAACGGCCCAAGAGGCCCCGAAGCCGGCCCAGGTGGCCCCCAAGACAGCTTCAGGTAGGCCCAAGATACCCCGTTCGAAATCATGTCCCCGGAAGCCTCTCTGGGAACAGGATTTTCGGGTTCCCAGTGCCCCCTAGAGGGCCCCAGGACAGCCTCAGCGAGGCCCAAGAGGGCCCGAGATGGCTTGAAGAGGGCCCCGAGAGGAACCAAGAGGCAAAAGTCAGCCCATTTCCGTTGTAAAGCGTACATTTTCAGCATGCTCGTTGGCTTCGTCTTCGCAGTGCCCCAGACGCCCCCGCGGAGCCCCAACACAGCCCAATGAAGACCCAAGTGCTCCAGACGGCCCAAAAGGGTCGGCCTGTGGGGCTGACGGAACCCTCCAAGACGGCCCAAGAGGCCCCGAAGCCCAGGAGGCCCCCAAGACGGCCTCAGGGAGACCCAAGAGGGCCTCGTTCGAAATCATCTTCCCGGAAGCCTCTCCGGGAGCATGATTTCCGGGGTCCCAGGACGCCCAAAGACAGCCCCCAGAGGCCCCAGACATTCCGAAGATGGCCTCAGGACGGCCGACGACGCCGCCAAAACGCCCCACGAGCGCCTCCAGAGGCCCCTCCAAAGGGCCCCAGAAGCCGAAAATCATGAATTTCCCAATGGTTTTTGAAGCATGATTGCGCTCTCCCATGTTCCACCTCCCCACGGTCCCGGACCGCGTCAGAGGCCCTTCAGATCGCTCCAAGACGGCCGAAGAGGCTCCCAAGAAAGCCCAGAGACGGCCCAGGAGGCTCCCCAGATAAGTCAAGAGGGCGCTCCCAAGAAGCCCCGTGAGGCTCCCAAGAGGCCTCCCGGAAGCCCCAATAGGCCCCCATGGGGACCCCCAGGGAAGCTCCTTGCGGGCCCCAAGACACTTCGGTAAATCGTATTTCCCAGATAGCTCTCCGGGAGCATGATTCCTTGGGCTTCCGCCCACCGCCCTAACCATGTTTCCAATAGCCTTGCCGACAAGGCCAAAAAGGCGCCCCTCGGTAAGCCCCCAGAGGCCCCTCTCTTAGAGAGCCGAACAAATCATGCTCCCGGAAAGCTTCCCGGGAACATGATTCTCTATCTCGGAGTAGGCCCGGGGAGGGGGGCGGGCCGCTGCCTGTTCCCCCCATCGGTGCCCACCAGGGGTTGCGGGGGGGGGGTCCAGAGCTCCCGAGGCGGCCCGAGCCCGCCCCGAAGCAGGCCACGACAGGCTAAGGGGATCCCGAGAGGACCCAAGACGGTCCCACGAAGCCCCGAAGACGCCCAAGATGCCTTCAAGACAGCCGATGAGGACTCCAACACGCTCCAGCACGGACTCAAGAGGATCCCCAAGAGGGCCCGGGAAGGCAAGATTCACTCGTTATCCGAGTGTTTCGGATTTGGGCGTTCTCGCTTTCCCCGCTTTCCAGCGCTCCCTCACGGCCTCGGAGGCCTTTCAGATCGCTCCAAGAAGGCCCACGAGGCCCCGACGAGGGCCCCAACACGGCCCAGGATGCTCCCCAGACAACCCAACTGTACCCCAAGAGCGCGCCAAGAGAAGGCCCAGAGGGGTCCCGAGGCGGCCCGGGCCCGCCCCGAAGCAGGCCACGACAGGTTAATGGAGGCCCGAGAGGGCCCTAGACGGTCCCAAGAGGCCCCGAAGATGCCCAAGCTGCCCTCAAGACGGCCGACGAGGACTCCAACACGCTCCAGGACGGGCTCAAGAGGCTCCCCAAGAGGGCCCCTGGAGGCAAGATTCACTAATTTTCCAATGGTTTTTGAAGGATTTAGGCGTTCTCGCTTTCCCCGCTTCCCAGCGCTCCCTCACGGCCTCGCTCGGAGGCCCATCAGATCGCTCCAAGACGAGCCACGAGGCCCCGAAGAGGGCCCCAAGACGGCCCAGGATGCTCCCCAGACAACCCAACTGTGCCCCAAGAGCTCCCCAAGAGAGGGCCCAGAGGGGGACCGCCAACCGATATTTCGAGGTCTCTGGCCCGAGGCCGCCTGTAGGCCCTCGGAGGCCACCAAGAGGCTCCCACGAAGCCCCGTGAGGCGCCCAAGAGGCCCCCAGGAAGCCCCAAGAGACCCCAAGGGGCTCCCTGGGAACGCCCAAGAGGCCCCGCAACACCCCCCAAGAAGTCATGTCCCCAGAAAACCTTCTGGGGACATGGTTCATCATGGGCCCGAGAGTTCCCGGAGGCCCCCAAGGGGCCCCCAGGGAACGCCCAAGAGACCCCCCAACACACCCCAACAAACCATGTCCCCAGAAAGCCTTCCGGGGACATGGTTCATCATGGGCCCGCGAGTCTCCGGAGGCTTCGAAGTACCATCATGCTACAGGAGAGTTGTCCGTGAAGTTGATTGGGAACATGGTTGATCGCCTTCTCGCGGCCCTGCGCAGATCGTTTCGCCTAATGTTGCCCCGAGTGCCCTCTTGAATCGACGACGACGACGACGACGACGACGACGACGACGACGACGACGACGACGACGACGACGACGACGACGACGACGACGACGACGGCGCGCCCCAACAGGCGACGACGACATTACGACGACGACGACGACGACGACGACGACGACGACGACGACGACGACATTACGACGACGACGACGACGACGGCGGCACGCCCCAACAGGCTCCCCAAGACGCCCCAAACCCATGCTCCCAGAAGGCCTTCTGGGAACCCGATTCATACGGCCTCCGCCTCCCTACACAACCATTTTCCTCGAAGGCCTTTCGGAATGCAAGTTGGCATGCGTGGACTTTGGTCAACTACTTCAGTGGAGCAGTGAATTCGTCAAGGCCTGCGGCCTGCTAGAACCTGAGCGCGCGCGAAGCGCGCGATGGTTCCAGTATGTATATACATATATATTTATATGTTTGTAGAGGGAGAGAGCGAGAGAAACATATGTGTATATATATGTATATTTACACAGAGAGAGAAGCAGGTAAACACGTACATTGATTGGAACATGTATAGACAGCGCGCGAGAGAGAGAGAAGGAGAGAGAGCGAGAGAAAGACAGAGAGAGAGAGAGGGAGAGAGACACAGACAGTGACACTGACACGCACATCTGGATGTATACGTAGATGGAGAGAGCGAGAGCGAGAGAGGGAGAGAGAGGCGTTGCGCGGCGCGATCCAGCGGCAAGTGGCGATGCCCAGCGGCGGCCCGAGCGCCGCTCCGGCGGGGGCGCGTCGGTGCCCTCTGTGCCGCACGCCGCGGGGGTCTGGGCGGCGCTCGGTCGCGCGGGTGGGCCCTGCGGGGCGGGCGCCTCGTCTTGCGGGAGGATACCGCACGCCGCGGGGGTCTGGGCGGCGCTCGGTCGCGCGGGTTGGCCCTGCGGGGCGGGCGCCTCGTCTTGCGGGATATATATATATATATATATTGATCTATGGGTATCTGTATTGATATACCTATTGTTCTATACATATATGTTTATGTACACACCTATATATGTGTATCGATATCTATATATATATATATATATATTCAGATATACAGATATATAGATATACATTCCAGATCGGACAGACTCCCCACCCTGACATGTCGATTAGTGAATTGTCCGTTCTCGAGAGGGCGCCGCGGCCGTCGTTTTTTTGGCTTGCGCCCGCCAGGTTTGGGCCGGAGGTCGTTTTCACTAAACACGTTTTACTACAGGGGGTTCTGTCCATCCCCGATACATCAATGTGTAAGGACAGCGAATCGGTGAGTGCTGCCTTCTCGCTTTTGTTCGCTCCCGATGTGGCGTCGAGGCCTCAGGGTGGCCCCAGGGTTGTCCAACGAAGCCCCAAGATGGGGCCCAATGGCACCCCGCCCCAGGACCGCCCAGGAGCGCCCCGAGGGCGCCCCGAGAGGGGCCCAGGAGGCGAATTTGATGGTCCCAGAGGGGCGTCGCACCTCAGGGGGCCCGCTCAACGACGCCCCTTCAAGCAGCCCCAAGGGAGCCTCCAAGGCTCCCAAGAGAGCCTCCAAGGCTCCCAAGAGAGCCTCCAAGGCTCCCAAGAGGCCCCCGACGGCTTCGAGAGAGCCCCAGGACTCCCCAAAAGAGCCCCAAGAACACCCCAAGACCTTCCCCCAGTTGGAGGCATAGGTGGTTGGCTGACAAGCACCGGGACCGAAGCTGGAAAAGCCCAGCGGGCAGACAAGCCCCGAGGGCGGAGCTTGTGACGGTGCCCTGCCCGCGGCTTCGACGGGGTCGGGGGGTTGGCACCTGGTGCAGGGGATGGGTGGGGGCTGCCACCCCATGCCACTCTCCTCGCGTGGTTCTGGCCACTCAAAGGATGTTTCCTCCCTCCTCGTCCCGGCTTCCAAACCTAAAAATTGTCAATCGATTGCCCCACGCCTTCCCGTCCCCCGTCATCCGAGGCAGGAAGGATACCCATGCCGCTCTTCGTCATGGCGAGCCCTCGTCGCCACGGTTGGATTCTCCTGGATTTCTTTTTGCCAGAACGCCCCCAAGGAGAGGCCCAGGGAGTAGCGGCATCGGTATCTTTCGGTTCCCCCCACCTCCCCTTCCTTCTCCTCCTCCGTCGCTCTTCCCCTTCTTGTCCCCTTCCCACCACCCTCCCCTCATCTGCCAGGGGCTACAACGTGACTCCGCTCAGCGACGCGGACAGGAGGCGGCACGAGCAGGCGTGGAAGGAGTACCGGCACAAGGCCCGCGAGCGAGCCGAAATATTGGGAGGAGGAGGGGGAGGAGCAGGAGGAGGAGGAGGAGGAGGAGGAGGAGGAGGAGGAGAAGAAGGAGGAGGAGGAGGGGAAGGAGGAGGAGGAGGGGGAGGAGGAGGAACATGAGGAGGAGAGGAGGAGGAGGAGGAGGAGGAGGAGGAGGAGGAGGAGGAGGAGGAGGGAGGAGGAGGAGGAGGAGCAGGAGGAGGTGGAGGAGGGAGGAGGAGGAGGAGGAGATCGGGGGTTGCCAGCGGCAGCCCTGGCCCATGGTGACCTGGGTGGCCTCCAGAGCACACCTTTCCCCAAGGCCTGCGAGGGCCCCTCGGGTGTCCAGGCGGGGGGACACCTGTGGGCCAGGAGCACCTCCTCGGGACCCCCCCCCCGAGAGGAGGCGTGGTGCAGTCGAAACTGGCAAGGAGCTGCTGCATCCCTCAGTTCTGTGCGCATCCCGAGCGAGGTCGAGGTGCTTCTGTCAGTATCGTTTCTCCAACCCCCATCCCCATCCTCGTCTCCTTCGAGACCCCCACCAAATTGCCACCCCAGTGGGGGAATACACCCCTCGAAACCCGCAGGGGACGGCCTATATCCCCATCTGGGGGAGTGAATCGGCCAGCGGGGCCCAGGCCACGCCGCTGGGGATGGGGGCCGAACAAAAACGATACTCATTCTGGCCTTTGGCGTCCTTGGAGCCTGGTGCCTCGGCGCGTCCCAGGATCGCTGCAGCGCCGCACCGGCAGAACCACTGGGGAGCAGCGAAGACGTTCCGATTAAAAGCAACTGCACTAAGAAAAGTAGCCCCTGAAACCCTTCGCGCTGAAAAGAGCACGCGGGGGAACACGGGCCACGCTCGCGCTAGACCGGGGGAGAGAGGAGACTGGTGCTCGTATGGAGTAATTGTCGAGAAGGGCGAGGAGGAGGAAGGAAGCAGGAGGAGGAAGGAAGCAGGAGGAGGAGGAGGGAGGAGGACTAGGAGTCCACAGCCTCCGAGCTGCCGCGCCGATCGGCGGCGATGGATCTGCAGCGCCGTTCGCGCTGGGGCGTGACCGAGCCACTCGGAAGGGGCGCGGCGGATGCGGCCCCAGTTCGGGGAAGGGTTGCCATAAGAGTGCAGCGTTGCAGTGCATGTGTAATGCGAGCAGAGCGATTTGTCTCCGTCCGTGTGCGTCCTTGGCTCGGGGTGCCGAGAGGGAGATCCCTCGACCGAAGCACGCTCAACTGGGCCAGGTGCACCAAAACACATCGAGAGAGGTTGATACCGTACAGTTGAGTCTTTGATTGGAAGGACACCCTGAATGGGGACTTTGATCAACCCTCGAAGCACAGAAGCGGCACAAACACATACACATTCGAAGATCCGCGCGGAGTTCTCAAATCGGCGCTCATGGCCCCACTGGCGGCGCTTCTCTGGCAGCGCCACTTGGCGCGCTTCGCGCGTGTGGGGATACAGCGCCGAGCCAAGAAACGCTCGTGGACATCAGAAAGTTTGTGTGTTATGCTTAGGCCGGGCCTGCCCCTCTACAGGAGGAATGTGCAGAAATAGTAAAGATAGTACGGGGACGAGTTTAATTATGTGTTGACCGTTTTTGATTATTGTTTGGCTATTTTTTATTTTTCGTCCTAAATCCGTCTGTAGGGGGACACGCCCGACCTGAGTGCGTGCTCGCCGGACGTTGGCTCGCACGAGGAAGTTGCAGCCGTGAGCCGACGCGTTGTCCGTCTTCGCCCTCTCCGGGCTGCATGCCTCGAGCCCTGGTTACGGTCGGGAGTTGGGTCTCAGGGTGTCGTTCCGCCGATGCTGGCCCACCACGCTTCAGCGCGACACGCCGTCCATGTCCGCATCCCCGAGCGTCAGCGTCCCCAGCCTTTCCGATCCTCCCGACGCCCGCCGAGCGGCGCGACGTGGAGCAGACGTCCCTGACCGCAGCAGTGTTTGTGATGTTCACACCTGCTTCAGCCTCGGTCACCAGAAAGAGCTCCGAGCACCAGGAAAGTACCGACACCAGAAGGGTTTCCACGTGTCGGGCCCTGGGAGGCAATGCTGGACCGGCGACCCTGCTTCTATTCTGTTCCCTTGGCATCGCTCGGACGTGTGCAGTTTTTCTCGGCGAGAAACATCGAGGACCATCCTGGACCATCGAAACCGAAAAATGCACGGGAAATGGACGTCCGAGCGACGGCAAGTTCTGGGTGCTCGAGATTCTCTATGGGATGTGGTCCTCGAGTACGATGGGAGCAGCACGAAGCAGTGTCCCGGCCCGGGGGAGGCCCGCACAGGGCGGCAGGCGGCGCGGGAGAGCGGCCAGCCGGCCGCTCACCGCGGCCAGGGCCACGGGGCCCACTCCCAGGCGTGCGACGCAGCGGTTCCTCTGTATCACCTCTGGCGCCGCTCGGACGTGTGCCGTCTTTGTTTGTTTTGTTTTCCTCTCGGCAGGGACCATCGAGGAGCAGGAGGAACAAATACGGGGAGGTGCGGGAGGAACAGGAGGAGGAGGAGGAGGAGGAGGAGCAGCAGGATGAGGAGGAGGAGGAGGAACAGGAGGAGGAGGAGGAGGAGGAGGAGGAGGAGGAGGAGGAGGAGGAGGAGGATATTCGGAGGACACCTAAGCGTCACCAGGATCGCCGCCAAGCTGTAAGCCGCAAGCCGAGGCTTCTCCGAAGTCGTGAGTGTGCACCATGGGGCCGCAGTCAAAGGAGCCTGGCCTGGTAGCGACGCGGCCTTGGCACCGCACGCCTCTGACCCTGGAGATCTGGTGAGATCTGGGGCGGAACCTCTCGGCTGAGGAAGCAGCAAGCACATTGGTCCTGGCACATTGGTCCTGGCGCGAGCGAGCCGAAAGATTGGGAGGAGGGTGGGGAGGAGCAGGAGGAGGAGGAGGAGGAGGAGGAGGAGGAGGAGGAGTGAGGAGGAGGAGGAGGAGGAGCAGGAGGAGGAGGATGGAGGAGGAGGAGATCGGGATGCACCGGCGCCATGCTTCGGGGGTTCTGTGCTCCGATCCACGGAGCTGGCGCCCACGCGCCAGACCCGGGGATCCCCTTTCTCCATGTCGGGAGGGAGCAAAACACACAGGCACAATTAATCGTCGATCCCCCAGAAAAATATGGGAAAACATGGGAAGTGGGGGGGAAGACAATAACTTGGAAAATATGGGAAAATATTGGGAATCCTTTGATTTGTGTGTATTTATTTGTGTGTCCCAGGGCCCCTTCATCCATGTCAGCGCAGGCGCGGGTTGGACCAGACCATTGTTCCTGGTGCCGGGGGGTATACAGTCTATTGCCAGGCACTGTCTGGACGCAGGGCTCTTCGGGGAGGTGTCCGATGCTGGCGTGCCGCTCAGGTGAAGCTGAACAGACTCATCGCCAAGTACGACACCAACAACAGCAAGAAGTTGGAGAAAGACCAGTTGGTTCGGTAAGCCCGCTGTTGCACCTCCTCCTTACCCCCCCGCTTTGCAGCCTGAAGACGTTCTCTGCGGCGCAGCGGCAAGTATCAAGCGATGACGTTAGCATCCCACATATCAGGCGATGATGTTGTCGTCGTTCGTTGTCGTTGTCATCATCCTCATCCTCTTCCGTCTCGTTTGTTTGTCCTCCCACTCGCCCCTGTGCTGCTCCTCGTAAGCATTGGTGCGGCATGCACCTCGATGCACTCAGCCGCGCTAGCACGATCAAGGCAGAAAGTATTCACTGTGCCTGGCAGCACGTTGCCGAGTGAAATCGGCATCAGCCACGGCAGCCCAGGGCTGCGTAAGATGCGGTAGCCTCCGGGGGCAAAGGGTGGCTCGGACAAGGAAACCATGCAGGGGGCCACACCGGAGAGCACGCGGGGGGGCGAGCGGGAGGTCATATAAGGGAGACCATGCTAAGCAACCACACCGGGAAGCCATCATGGACATCACACGGGAGGTCATGCGGGAAACCATGAGGTCTCCGATCCGGGGCTTGCAACGGTCCGCCTCGGGATGCCTTGTAAGTGGGTGGCCACGCGGGAGACCCTCGAGTCACCGGTTCCGAGGCCAGGGACGCATTCACATGAGAGACCATCTGGGATGTTACCAAGCCGCCGACACCGATTCTAGGGCCGGATTGCGGGGCCGGGAAAGCAGCCCCTGGCTTCTCTTACGCGGCACCTGTGGGAATTTACAGACAAGCTGCTCAGGGAGACAGATGGCGTGGTCTAAGCACAAGCGAGCATTATGGTTCGCTGGGCTGTTTTCATTTCGCTTGTTTGGATATAGGATATGACGTTGCTAGTACCTCGCCCCTCGCCTCTTGGGTCTCTCGAGCTCGCTGTTACGCTAAGATTCTGCCGACGAGGTTTCAGCGTCAGCGCCTGCGGGCGAAGGGCCCACAGGGTTCTTCACGCATCTCGGGTTTTTCTATGATGCGTTGGCGCCGGTTGACGATGGTTGGATGTTCACGAACAGAGGGGAACGAACAATGATATAAAAATTACAAAGCTCGGAGGTCCGCGCAGACCTCCGAGTTTTTATGTTTATGTCATTGTTCGTTCCCCTAGAACATGCGATGCGTTCAGAGAGGGACTGCGGCCAGTAGTAGAAGGAGTCGCAGTGGTCGAGCGGGGGGTCCCGAAACAAGGCTCGTAGTGGGAGCCTCCTGTTCGAAGTGCTTCCAAGCCTTTTTGCCGCTGGCGAAGTTTGACTCGATGCACCGCTTCTCTGTTTGATCTATCACCGCAGAAGAGTAACTGGTGTTGATTTCCACCTCGACGCCCATCTTGATTTTGAGTATATATCTTTATATCATTATGTGTATATGAATACATGCATGCGCAACTTATTCTCCGAGGGAGCACAGCTCAGATGCGATGAACTGAAGCCGCGTTTTTTGTTTCTGACCGTTTCGCTCGGTATATATTCAACATGTGTAGAGCGGACGCATACAAATCGAGACGTTATGGTCAAACTTCAGTGCCCCTTTCAACCATTCTTGCACAACGTGATCAAACGTGTAAGGGAAGTCAGCGAATTTGCAAACGATTCTTAGAGAAGGGGGTTCGCCTAAGGCATCTTCGCAAACTCGAGCCCCGACTCGTAACACACAGAACACACAGGACACAGGACACAGCACACACGACCCACATAACACAGATCCCACACACGCACAATACACACAACTCACGCACACGGGCGTACACAACACACGCATCACACACGCACAGACAATACATCACACAAAACACACACACACACCGCACACACAGGCAGCGAATCCAAACAACACACAACAGGCAACACACGCGCAGGCACAACGCAAACAACACGCAGACCACATAACCCAAAATACGCACAACTCACGCGACACACCCATAACACACCCAGAGCACCCATAACACCCACACATACCAGATGACAAACAACACACAATACACACATCACATGTAACACACAAACAATTTGCGTATCCCTGTGTTCCTTTTTTTCTCCACATGATTGTTCTTTTCATTCTTGGATCCGACTTCATATTCCCGTTCTTGCCAATGTTCTGCGATGTTGATTTGTTGTTCTTTTTATGTGAGCCTGGGCGCGCACGTGCCACCCGTATATCTGTTTTTGTGTGTGTGTTTCCAATGCCAGTGTTTCCTTCGCTTTCAGGATGGCCTTCATGCTCAGACGTGGACGTTCGGCCCCGAGGCTAGAACTACAACGGCCCCCATGAAGGAGGTCCTCACAATTCCCAGCCACCCGACCTACCGCGGGCCCAAACTTTCCTGCGTGTTGCAGTGGACCTGCACCGTCGACCCCCAAATCCTTGATTGGTTTACGCATTCCTGCACCTCGAGCCCAAAACTTCAGGCATTGTTCGAGTGTGTTGCCCCTTCGAGCCATAATAATTGCTTCAGGATTCTTCTTCCTCCTCCGCCACCTCCCGTTCTCCCCTCGTACTCTGAGTCCCCAGGGTGTCCAGAGGGTTGTCAGACATTGTAATGCCGCCACTCCCTGGCCCCTGAGGCGGTGAGCTCAACATCTCTGTGTCCTTTAGCAAGGAGATGGCAGCATGTACAGGATGAAATGGGTACGTCTTTGGCTGAGCTTGCGTTTCTCAGGGCCTCGCGTGAATATTCCTTGAGCGCCTTCTGGGGGCGTCGCATGGTTTCTCATACTCTCTTGGCGGCATCGGAGGGCAATTTTGGGAGGCATTTCGGGCTCGTGTGAGCTGGTGCTGATGCAGCTGGGGCGGGTCCCGACGCTGTCCTGAGTCTGTCTTTCTTGGGCTCTTGGGGCGGTCTTGGCTCGTCTGAGGTTGGCCCGTCTCTGGGAGACTGGCAGCTGCCCGAGTCGAGTGGCTGGTTTTGCCCCGAAAGAACTGCAGAAACTCTGCCAGGGACCTCACAGGCAGTCCAACGTTCAAGGCAGAAAAAACCACCCAGACCAGACAATCGGCGTCTGCTAAACGGCCCTGGGCGTGTATTAAAACAAAACTTTGCCCTGTTCGATGTCTTCTTTGGGCGCGTTTACTACACGACTTCGCGTGTCGGGTTGGTTATTTTTTTGTTTTTTGTTTTGACCTCTATAGACGCGCACGCCGCCGGCGTGCCGAGGGCATGGTGGCCCATACTCTCGGCAGGGCTCCAGCCCGCTGGAAGAAACCCCGGGAGCCAGTCTTTCGATGTTTCCCCAATCATTGCGGGGGCGGCATAAGGGGGGATGGAGATCATGGCGTGGGCCGTGATGTTTCCCCAGATTTCATGGCGCCCCGTCTTGGTTCAATACGACCCTGGCCCCCCCGCTGGGCCGCGCACATGCCGCCGGCCATGATTTGCGCCCCCCCCTCTTGGACACCCCCCTCTTGGACACCCAAATCATTTCGGGGGCGGCCAGGAGGGGGATGATGACTAGGGGGGTGTGGAGATCATGGCGTGGGCCGTGATATTTCCCCAGATTTCATGGCGCCCCTTCTTGTTTCAATACGACCCTGGCCCCCCCCCCTGCCCCCTGGGCCGCGCACATGCCGCCGGCCATGATTTGCACCCTCCCCTCTTGGACGCCCCCCTCTTGGCCGCTCCCGATCATTGCTGGCACTGGAAGGGTCCTAGCGGAAATTGAAAGATTTGGCGAAAGTCGCCGCCGATTCTGGTAGCCGGCTGGGTTCCCGGGTTCCCGGTGTCGGGTTCCCGGGCTTCTGGTCATTGGTTCCGGGCCGCCCTCGGTGAGTTCCGGGTTCCCGGGTTCCCGGTCGATTTCCTTATCGATCTCTGTTTATCGATCCCACGATTCATGATCGAGCTCATGATCGATCTCACTATTCCCAGAGATCCCGCGTCTCGATTTTTTCGAGACGCGGGCCCCTGACCTCTCGACCACTTCCCCCAGACCGGTTTTTCATCCCGAATCTTTTTTTGACGGTCCCGAAGCCTGGTCAGGGCCCCGAGAGGCCGAAAACGATGAAACACCTATGTCTCGATTTTTTCGAGACGCCAGATGTCTGGGTTCATCTCATTCAATCTCGGGCGAAGAGAATTATGCACATGCACCGATCCTGGCAAGGCCCATCCTTGACCCAGGATCGGTGCGTACCGTATACCTTCCTGGCCAAGGTAGGAGGGCCTATGCACCGATCCTGGGCTCAGGATGGGCCTGGCCAGAGTCGGTGTATATGCATAATTCTTTCTCCTCTAACTCAATCGATCTCACTCATCGGTCTCATCAAGCCATCCACTGGTTGTGGTTTCTCTCTGATGTAGTCTTTGCTACAGGCTTCCTCCAGGGCCTCCCTGGCGCGGCTCGGCGAAACAATCAGGAGGGGAAAACACACACACACACAGACACAATGAATCGTCGATTCCCCAGAAAGTATGGGAAAATATGGGAAGTGCGGGGAAGACGAAAACTCAAAAAATATTAACAAATATGGGGAATCCTGTTATTTGTGTGTATTCATGTGTGTGTGTGTGTGTCCTGGGGCCCCTTCAGAAACAAGCATACGCATTTGGACCCTTGAACTCCGTAGCTGTTTCTGGTTGCCGTCCACCGCAGGGCCCCACTGGCAACTGTTGGCCGTCAGCCGCATTCTATCGCGCGAGCTCCATGGTTGCATTACTGCAATGGCTCGCTTTTTGCGTTGTTCACGTTGTCTGCAAGGAAGGCTCTGACAAGACTGCTGCCGTCATTTTCTTACACGGGCTTGGCGATGATGGTGATGGGTGGCGGTCGAACTTCAGAGCTAAATTGGCTGGTACTAAAAGATTTGATCACATTGCTTGGCAGTTTCCCAAGGCGCCAAAAGCGCCCGTCACCCTGAATGGTGGGATGGTCACACGTTCGTGGTACGATGTCCACGGCTTGGAACCAAGCAGCAAACAAGATGTAGAAGGCTTCGGGTTATCAGTCGAACGGGTGGAAAAGTCAATCCAAGCTTTACTGTCTCGCAATCCTTTGTTGAGGCGAGATCGTATAATCATTGGTGGTTTCAGTCAGGGGGCCGTCATATCATTATCAACATTGTTGCGGAGCACCGAGCGGTTAGCTGGCATTATCTCATTGAGTGGATACCTTCCTGAACATGACTTGCTTCATTCGCGATTGGATGAAGCAACACGTGGCTTCACTCGGCGTGATATTCCAGTCCTAGGTTGCCACGGTACGAAAGATAAGTTAGTGCAGTTCAAGTGGGGGAAGGCTGGCTTTAAAAAGATGAAGGAAGCTGGAATGAACATCACGTGGAGAACATATCCAATCGCTCACGAATCCTCCGATGAAGAAATCAGCGACGTGATAGCCTTCATTGAGAATGTTGTTCCTGCGTTGTCTCCACCAGTGGATGAACTCTAGACTTGCATTTGGTAAGGTGTTGTTGGTCGCGCGGTTTGTGTTGTGTACGTTAATTCCAGCGGGGCTAGCGGTTGCTGGTCCAGTCGAACCGTCGTCATCATCAGCGTCGCTCAACACATACGCGTGATGTAGTAATGAATGGGCGGTGCTCGAGCATTCTTGGAGGTCATTGGATGGAACGTTGATTTGTTGTCATGTTTATCCAATGTGTTAGCACGGCTGCAGCCCTCGATTGAGTTTGTGCATGGTTGGTTGTGCAGCGTCGCATCTGTATCTATATGTATATGTATACACATGCGTATTCCTATATATGCATAAACACATAACTTCTAGTTTTTCGGTATTGAAGAGCGTACCCTTTCAACGTGATTGAAAGTGCATCTCATATCTCTCTGCGGAAGGTTCGCGTCGTGTCGGCGCGGTGGCAAGCCAAGAGGCCCATAATCAGCCGACATCGAACGATCCGCGCTGCCGGAAAGCCGCGACCTTTCAAGGTTGAAGGATCCGCGCGGGGTCAGAAACCAGCACAAGAGTCGCCACGACGTTTACGATAGCTGCGCTGGTTTGGAGTGTTCTGGGTCCTCTACCACTGTTGTGCTTTCTCCTCCAGACAGACAACGAGGCGCACGTTCATTCATTTTGTATTTATTTTGGGTACTCCAGAAACAAGGGCTCCCTCGAGGGCGCGAAGTTGTTCGCGCTTCGCGCTTCGCGGTCCTCGTTTCTCCTCCCCCTCCTCCTCGTCCTCCTTTTGTCCCTTTTGGGAGGGCGGCGCGAGAGCGCGAAGTTATTCGCGCTTCGCGCTTCGCGCAGCGCGAAGCGCGAAGTTGGGAGCCCTAGAGAAAGGTCTTCGCTTTCGATAACATCGAGACGCTGCCTTCTCTTCGGCGGAAGGTCGGCGGCAACCCGCGCAGGCCACGCGAGAGCGGTTCTGTTCGCGGAAGGTCAACGTAAGTCACCACCCACCAAACCACCCCAACCCAACCCGAAGGCCCAAATTTATCCTCGATTTCCAGTGGGGGAGGGTCGGGGAACGTTGAAAAAACACATGGTATCCGTACCCCCCCCAACCCGAATTTCGGGTCAAATTCGGGTCTTCGGGTTGGGTTGGGGTGGTCTGGTAGGTAGTCAGTAAGTCGTCACAGCCGAGTGTCTCCCCAAGGAGGGTGGCCCGATGTTTGGAGTCGTGTTTTCCAGAGCCGGCCATCTATATTTGTGACGTGTATAGTTGAAGGCTAGTTGACAAGTTGGAGGGGGGAAGGAGGAGGAGGACGGGGAGGAGCAGGAGGACGAAGAGGAGGAGGGGGAGGAGGTGGAGGAGGTGGAGGAGGGGGTGGAGGAGGCCCCCCTTCCCCTCCAACTTATGGTGGCGGTGGTGGAAAACAGGCCCATCAATAGTTGAAAAAGTCGCTCAAACAGTGTTTGCACTCAGGTGTGCTCACCGCTTCTCCTCGCTGCCTCGCCGAGATGCTTCTTCTCGTCCCGTCGGGATCTGGCAGGACCCCGCCGAAGTGTTCCCAGGGTATTTCCCATAGATGTCCATGTCCTCGGAGGCGGCAAAGAGGGGGATGATGATAGGGAGGGATGAATCGCATGGCGTGGGCCATGATATTACCCCAGGTTTCATGGCGCCTCTTCTCATCTCACTGCGCCCCTGGCCCCCCCCCTGGGCCGCGCACATGCCGCTAGCCATGATTTGCACACACCCCTCTTAGACGCCCCCCTCTTGGACGCTCCCAAAAGTCACCACAGGGTCTCACACGATGCGGTCCTATCCTAGACGACTGGCTCCACCAGATAGTGGCCCACACAGGTCGCACCCCATTTTGCGCCCCCGAATATTGCGTTGCGTAGCCTGCATCGCAGATTCCACCGCATGTGTTGCACATCACTTTCGGCACCACCACGATTCAAACACCCCGCAGAAAGCCATTCATGGAACACCGCCAAGATGGCACCTCATGTTGAAGACGCCTCCAGTGTCGTGTGATTTGATTGATTTTGGATTTGATTTTGATTTGCTTTTTGGAGACGTGTGCGAAGTGAAATGTCGGCCGAAAGTTCAGCCATACTATGGGACTGTGTGTTACCCTAAGTCGTTTGGCAAAACGCTGGGGGAACACTGAGAAGGCCCCTGTGGCCCCATCTTGGAGCTGGCTTTGGGCTGTTGCCCAGCCTCTGGGGCCGTCTCTGGAGTCGGCCGTCTGAAGGCGCTCTTGGGCTGTCTTGACGCCCCAGGAGGCCGTTTTGGGGGGGCCGTTCTGGGCCGTCTCGAGTTTCTGTTGGTGTCCTGTAGGGCCGTCTGGAGGCCGTCCGGGATATCCCCCCGTCGTGGGGCCCTCTTGGAGGCCTTTTCGGCCGTCTTGCGCTCTCGGGCGGCGGCTGCTCTGGTGGGCGGCTGCCCAGGGGGAGCCCGCGCAGAAGCTGCCCGACTGAGTGAGCTCGGCCCTGGCTGCCTGCCTGATCGCGGCCGCCTGAAGGGAAAACCTCTGGTCAAGCCTGCTTCCTCGCCCTCGCAGACGACTGGCGTGCTTGTCCTGCATCGTCTTTGTCCGTTCACAGTCGGCGCGGGGCCCATCCCCTTCTCTCTCCTCCCCTCATCCTGCCGTCGCTCGCTCCTCCCGCCCTCGCCCTTCCCTATTTGCCTCCGCGGCGGCCACGGCGCCTACAGCGGCTACAGCAGGCACGGGAGCCGCAGCAGCCACGGGAGCTACAGCCACGGGAGGCTTGCGGCCTGATGCCCAATCCGCTACACCTCGGCCAGGGGGCCACTTTTGTCCGAGGTGCGCCTGGCCTTGGCTGCCTGCGCGCGCGAGGCGTTCTGAATCCTCGGCCTTCGTCGTCGGCGAATCGTCGGCGCTGGGGCTCGCGATTCAGTATCGATCCACCTCAGAGGAGGAGAAGGTACCCATGCCGCTACTCTTCCGCGTTTGCCCATTTTGGGGCCTCCTGGGAGGCCCTCGTCGCCACCAGTGGACTCGCCTCGAGCTCCTGGTCAGAACGCACCCCAGGAGAGGTCCGGGGAGTAGCGGGTACCAGTACCTTCAAGTCTCCCCACGACCTATCCCCATCCCGTCTGGGCCACGGTATCCAAGCCTCACCATCGCACCCCACCAGCGGGGGGCATGCCCCTCGAAGCCCGGAGGGAGCAGCCTCTGTGTCCCGGGTGGGGGGGTGGACGGGCCAGTGGGGCCAAGGCCATGCCAGTGGGGCTGGGGACCGGTTATACGTTATACGACTCTCGGCAGTCGCCAGCCCCCCCCCCCTTCGCTCGAACCCAAGGCTGTGCTGCTCGGCCTCAGCGTTTTTGTCCCCGCCCGCGGCATCCAGGGGCCGCTCCCTCGGGGCCCAGGGCGGCAGCCCATAATTACTCTGCGCTGACATCCCCGACAGTTCGTGCATGTTCTGGCGAGCTTCTCCTCCTCCTCCTCCTCCTCCTCCTCCTCCTCCTCCTCCTCCTCCTCCACCTCCCGTAGCCATTTTGGCTCAAGCGCCGCGCGCCGCGCGCCGCGGGTGGGCCTCCCCGCCCATGCGCCAGCGGTCCGCGTAGCGCCTGGATGGCCGAGGCGGCCGAGGCGGCGCAGCACGTGCAGGAGAAGACCGCACAGGCGGCGCAGCACGTGCAGGAGAAGGCCGCGCAGGCCGTGCACGACGCTGGAGAGAAGCTGAAAGGAGCGAGCCCCACGAGCACGGTCTCGACGGCAGCCTCGTCCACGGCCGATGCGTTCCACAGAGTGGAGCACAAGGTCGAGGAGGTGCCCTACGGCGCCCACCGATCGTGCGGGAGCACGTTCAGGAACCACTATTCTGGGGAATTCGACCTCCTTGCGTGGCACAAGGACGAAGCGACACTGCTGCAGGAGGCAGCGAAGGCAGGCGTTCAGAAGGGTGTGGATGCGGTCTCCACGGCCGAGGAGACCGTGAGCGACAACATTCCGCCTTGGATGCAATCGAGATCGAAGGCATCCAAAGAGGACAAGGACTGCGCGCACAGCACTCGGCACTGCGGGTGCAGTCTGGGAGACGCGCTCGGCAGGATGTTCCACAGGACCGAGGCCGCGGCGGGGCACGCCGGGCAGGCCGTGAAGGGCGCGCAGGGCGCGGCGGCACAGGCCGGGCAGGCCGTGCAGGGCGCGGCCGCACATGCGGGGCAGGCCGTGCAGGGCGCTGCCCACCAGGCCCGGCAGGCCGTGCAAGGCGCGGGCCACTAGGCCGGGCAGGCCGCGAGGAGGATCGGAGCGGGAGGGGGGGGGGGGCTCGGGCTTGGGCTTGAGAGCTCACTGTTGCTTGTAGGCACTATCTTGCCTGAGGAAAGATGGGGCACGAGCCATTTCAGAGCATATTCTGCAGAGCAGCGAGTGAGTGATAGTCTCATCATGGCGCAGTGTTTTTCGGGGAAAGTGGTTAACTTTTTGTTTTCGATGCGGGGCTTACTGTGCGGACTTCCGCCCTGGAGTGGTTCTCAAGGCGAAGTGTAAAGGGAAGCTTGCCAGCCCAGGCATCAAGTCCCAGCTTGGTCGGATCAAGAGTGGAAAGCATCCACACTATCGTGCGACCACGCGCGATCTCAAACTTAGCCTCCCTGGCCCGTTGATTCCGGAAGAGAGGGAGGCTATGCGTCAGGCGATGTTGTACGAAGCTGCTCCAGGCGCTGGAGGCAGCCCACTCCAATTGGCTCACGAGGCCCCCGGATTTGCATCAGAGGAGGCTGTGCTGCAGGCATTCGGTCGTCTCGTCTCTGACATGCCCCGTGTGCAGGCCCTGATCCCGAGTCTGACGGAGGCGATTTGTTCTAGTCACCGCGTTTAGCGCAATCCACAACAACCTCCTCCTCCTCCTCCTCCCCCGCCCCCTCCTCCTCCTCCTCCGCCTCCTCCTCCTCCTCCATCTCCTCCTCCTCCTCCTGCTCCTCCTCCTCCTCCTCCTCCTCCTCCTCCTCCTCCTCCTCCTCCTCCTCCTCTCCTCCCCCTCCTCCTCCTCCTCCTCCTCCTCCTCCTCCTCCTCCTCCTCCTCCTCCTCCACCCCTCCTCCTCCTCCTCCTCCTCCTCCTCCTCCTCCTCCTTCTCCTCCGCCTTCCCCTCCTCCTCCGCCTCAGTCTTCCTCCTCTGAGGAACTGGCGCGCACATGGGGGGGACAGGGGGATCTCTTCGAAGGAAACTGCCTCTCAGGAATAGCCACGGGCCCCGTCTAGTGTAGATGTGAGGCGAACGCGCCTTCCAGGGAGCCGGCTCCTCCCGAGAAGCCTGCCCCCCTCCAGGGATGGACCTAAACGCTGTTTTGCTGGACTTCGGCTGTTTTTGTTTTTTTTCGTTCTGGGAGGGAGGTACAGGAAAACGCTTGTGCAGGAGGACCGGAGGAGCACGAGGAGAAAGGGAGGACGGCGCGTCGAGGAGGACCGAACCCAGACCCGAGCCTCGCGCTGTGAAAAGCTCACGGCGGCAGGTCAGTCGAAGGTTTCCTGCGTCCGGGGGCTTTTACCAGACCCCGGGGGCCGTCATCGAAAACGACTCAGGATGAAAACGGCTCCAGACCTCTGTGAACGAAGACCGACGTCGGGGGTCTGGGAAGCCCGTTTTTGGGGTGAGTCGGGCTGATCCGCGTTCACGACAGCTGCAGGAATACGAGGAGCAGACGAGGGCGGCGCGCTGAGGAGGACCGAGCACCGTTGCTGGGGTCGACGCAAGTTGGTCCGAACGGTCTTTGGGCCAGATCGGCCGAGGCAAGCTGGGACCGCACGCGTTTTTGAACCCCCCAGGCTGTTGACGGAGATCGACAGCTCCACGCCGCCGGGCACCGCCCCGTCGGAGGAGGAGGCGGGCGCCCCGGGACCCCGCGGCTGCGGCGCCATCGCCGTATGTTTACGTTTACGCAGCCTTTTCTGTAGAGCATGAGTTCATCACCTGTAGTTCACCGCTGCGCGCGCAGGCTAGACGGGGCACGTGCGCAGCGTGTCGTTGTTGGGCCCGCAGTGGGCGTGCGTGGCCCTGTCCCTGCCCGCGTGCGGCCTTCTCCGGCTCGTTGTCCTTCCTCGCCCTTGTCGTGCTTTTCCTTGTCTTACTCATATTCGGAGCTGCTCGGATTAATGTTGCTGTTCACGTCAATCTGGCTTCTGGCAGTTTGGAACATGCGGGTGCCATCTACATTGCTCTGACCGTTCTAGAGTGTTTATCATCTCGCATCGATGGACTTGTACTGCTTCCTTTCAACAGGGGGTCGTAAGAGCACCGGCTTCGCTACACACGTTATTATCTAGTTGATAAATGATGCGAGCTGGCTCGCTTGCTACGCTCTTACTCTTTCTCTCCTCCGCCGCCTCAGGGTTTTGCTCCATCGCATATTTTTATCGGGCATGTCTAGGGGGCCGCATGCGAACCCTACCCCTACCCCCCACGATTTCTGAAGGGGAGGGTGAGGTTCACTTCGCTCGGGAGCTCGCGAACGAAGTGACCCCCACCCTCCCCCTCAGAAGTCGTGGGTGGTAGGGGTAGGGCTCGCATGTGGCCCCCTAATGTCTCTTCCTCAACCTTCCTCATCCCCTCTCGCAGGTCAACTTCGTGCTGAAGGCCGCGGACAAGGCGCGCACACCCCCCCCCGCCAACGGGGCACGGGGCGACCGACCGGAGAAGCAGCAGACAGACGAGAGCTGAGCGAGGTACCGCCAAGACGCTGAAATAAGGAACAGCTTGGATTCGGAAGGGGCTCGATGTTCCTTACGTCTTCTGTGGTTGTTCCCCTAGCACTTCTCGTGCACCCAGGCTTTTTTGAAGCCACAGAGGGGCTTCGTTCCTTATTTAGCGTTCCTTATGTCAGCAGCCCGACTGTACGGTGGGGGCGTTGGTGAAGGAATGTGCCCAGGAGTCTCCAGACCCTGTAAGATGCCGTGTCTGATGAGGGCGGCGGCCAATCCACGATTGGATGTCCACCGGCTTCCAGACCCTGGATGTCCTGGCCCGCTGGTTCGTTATTCAATGCCCTGACAGTACTGGGCTTCGATTGCAATTCCTGGGAGGTCAAATTCGGCACTATCCAGCTTAATCCCGCTCAATCCGGCTTTATCCCGTTAAATCCGCGGCCCAGTCCAGCGTAACAGCTCACCATTGGGGCTTAGTCCTTTTAAATCCTTCCGACGAAGACCTCCCTGTATTTGCCCCTTACCTCGAAGAAGTAAAAGCGCCATAAGAACATAAGCTTTCGCCGGTCCGCGCGGATTTCTTGGATCTGCGCTGGGGCCACCCCGGTGGCGCCTCCGGCGCCGCCCCTGGCGCGCGGAGCGCCAAAAGTTTATGTTTATTCCCCAATCAGTGCTTGCACTGAAGGTGTCCTAGCGGATACTGAAAGATTTGGCGAAAGTTTCCCGCCGATTCTGGTAGCCGGCTGGGTTCCCGGGTTCCTGGTTCCGGGTTCCTGGGTTCTGTTATTGGTTCCGGGCCGATTTCGGTGCAGTTCTCGGTTCCCGGGTTCCTTGTCGATCTCCTTATCGATCGTTTTACCGATCCCACCATTCACTATCCCATGATCGATCTCACGACTCACCTCACTCACCCAAGGATTGGGGCTTTTTTCTCTGGCCGCCAGAGGAAAGCCCCAGTCCTTGGAAGGAAATACGAGTACACCAGGTGTACTCGTATGTTCTTCTTCTACCAGGGGAGGAGGAGGAGGAGGAGGAGGAGGAGGAGGAGGAGGAGGAGGAGGAGGAGGAGGAGGAGGAGGAGGAGGAGGGAGGGGGAGGGGGGGGAGGGGTAGGGGGAGGAGGAGGAGGAGGAGGAGGAGGAGGAGGAGGAGGAGCCCAGATCCGCCCTCGCCCTTCTCGTCCTCGCGGCCTCCTGCCCCCTCCTCCGAGGGCCTGGCGCCTGGCCGCCCCCCGCGCCTTTCGCACCCTGCTGCGCCGGCGAATGGGCCCAGCGGCAGCAGCAGCAGCTGGAGCAGGGAAGCTGCGCTCCGATCAGGAGGGGAGCAAACACACACACACACACACACACACAGAGACACAACTAATCCTCCTCTTCCTCCTCCTCCTCCTCCTCCTCCTCCTCCTCCTCCTCCTCTCCTCCTTTTCCTCCTCCTCCTCCTCCTTTCCCCCCTCCCACAAACACACACACACACAGACACAATTATTCGTCGATCCCCAGGAAAATATGAGAACGTATGGGGAGCGGGGAGGAAGACGAGAGTCCAGGAAGTATGAAAAAAACGTTGCAGGTCCTTGGATTTGCGCGTATTTATTTACGTGTCCCTGGACCCCTTCATCCGAAGACGGCTCTGATCGAGAATGAAGCTTCGACAGAGCGCCGAAAACAAGAACCGTTCATCTATTTCTGACGAGTCTTTAGAACCAGGATCCATCCGTTCCAGAGCGTTCTTGGACGCTCACAGAGCGTTCTGGAACGCTCTGAGAAGGCCGCGGCGCCCGAAGCATTCTCCAGATCCGCTGGATCTAACAGATTCCCGATTCATCCTCTCCAGTGGAGGCAGGATGCTCGTTGTCAGCCCCGACGCCCAGCCCGACGCCTGTCCCTCCGACGCCAGCAACGAGACCTTCTCCGACACCTTCTCCGACGCTTGGGGGGGTTCGCCACGTGCGATACCCACCTGCAAATGTCTATGGCCAGCGATTCTACTTGATGACGCCTTGTAGGCATCCCTCGTGGAGCGAGCGTCGAGAAGACATTGCTCCATGTGCAGGCCGATGCGCGCCAACTGGGGGGAGTTGCGCGGACATACATTTCCAGGAAGTGAACATCACAGTGTATTGGGCAGAAGAAAAGAAAGCTGGAGGGTATCAACACAGGGCATCGCACAGCGTAGCGGAGACTCCAGCATGGGTTGTTTTTGGCAAGGTTCAACTCAAAGTCGTTCATGGAAGGACTCGCAGTGGCCTGCGTGTACGTGAGGCACTTGGGGAAAAGACAGGGTTTGTTGTCGGAGGCCTGCCGGGGGAAGACGACCACACGGAAGCAGCACAGCGTCCAGCGTCGTGTCACCATACAGTTGCTCTTGTGTCAAGTGGGCACTCAAACGTCGACGTCTTTTAGTCAACGGCCGTTCTGGACCACTTATTGCCAAGTCGGCCAAGTCAAGGAGCCTGTTTCTTCCGATGCATTATACTATTCTCTATATCTAGCCCTCGTAATCTCTTGCTCACGGCATTAAACTGGTATTCCTGATCCTCGTTTTCCGCCTCCCTTCTCCCCCCCCGTACCACCACCACTCCGTGATTATCACCATTACCATCAGCAACATCGCCATTAGCATCACCATCGTCGTCATCGATGATCAGCGGCATCGGCATCCACATCCTCATCACCCGACTCCTGCCGCCTGCCTCAAGCTGCCGTTGCTTTTTGTGATCGTTTTTTCAATCATTGTTTTGCCGATCGGCGCGGGCCCTCGCCCCCCCTTCCCTCCCCCCCCCGTGGAGTAGATCTTGGCTGTTTTTTGGCGCCTGTTTCGAGCAGGTGGAGTCTCCCCCAGAGGCCGCACGGCTCCAAACAGTCGCACTGAGCAGAGGTCTGGAGCCAGACCCCTCCCCCACCTTTCCACCCAATGTCGAAGCGCCGAATACAAAAAACGCTCACATCGTGAGACCGCGTCTTTTTTACAGTGCGAGGCAACGTTAGCATCGAAGTTCTGCCGCACATCGTGCCAGCACACTATGTCTTGTATGATGGGCCGCCATCCACCCACGCGACCGGTAGCAAAGACATTTACAGCACGCGTGCAGCGCCGAAGCGACAGCATCCTTCTCACAACGAGCCGCTGCTCATCCGCGTAGATTTATGATGTTCCAACCTCTTTTTAGCTTTGATCGCCAGAAAGAATTTCGAGCACCAGAAAAAGTAGGCAACAACTCAAGGGTTTTCACGTGTCCGACCCTGGGAGACACTCGTCCGACACTGGTTCGATACTCTTTCGACACTCTTCCGGGTGCTCGAGATTATTTCTGGGTGGGATGCGGTCCTTAAGTGCGATAGGAGCAACATAAGCGTAGATGTTATACAGGGCTCGGGCGTCAACGTTATCGGTCGTGGCGCCGTCTGCAGGGACAACTCGACACTACACGCCGGTCGTTGAAAGTAGGTATTTCTGGCTTCCCAGATCCCAATCTGCTGCAAGCGTCTTCCTACTTCAAGAATCGACACGCTGTTGCTGCGTCGTGTCATTCCCTGGGGGGGCCTGGACCCGGTCAACTTAATCCGCCTTCCCACTTCATGTTCATTACCTACTTCGGAGGGCACCAACTATACACCAACACCGATCCTGGCCCAGGATCACCCTGGGCCCAGGATCGGTGTATATGCCTTCTTGCCCAAGGCAGGAGGGCGTATACACCGATCCTGGGCCCAGGGTGATCCTGGCCAGGATCGGTGTTGGTGTATAGTTGGTGCCTTCCTACTACTGCTTCCGACCGACGTGTGCACCGATGACGCTCCACCCTCCGCACGTGCGACGGTCGGGCTCTGCTCCGGTGCATCGGCACCGTGCCGCCCCGATCTCGTTCGACGGCTCGCTCGCCTCGCCCCGGCTCGCCTCGCTCCTCGCCTGGTGTGTTTCTTCAAAGGGCGCTACCACAGCGAATCCCCTTAATCCAAGATATCGGCACGCTGTCTCCGCATTGTGCCCTCTCACACACGAGTCCCGCCTGTCGCAAGGGCACAGTCCGATGATCATATAACAATCCTGATTCCGATTCCTCTGACCCTGGGCACGGGCGCCGCCCTCGAGAGGTACTCCGCGACGTGCACACCCTGCCGTGGCAGTGTATGGCCCTTCGCCTCGCTCTCGCTCGCCCCCGCCCTGGGCCTCCCAGATGGGGTCGGAGGATCGCGCCCCGGCGACGCGGCTCGCTGTGGGGCCCAATGCCCTCCAGGCCGACGCCGCGGACGTCTCGCCGACGTCGCCGGAGCACGGCCGATGCACGGCCGATGCAGCGCCGATGCGGCGAGAGCCTCCGGCCCCAGCCGTGCTCGGGCCCGATCAGGGAGGCCTCCGCCCGCCCTCGCTTCGCCCAGCTCGCCTCCCCCGCAGCATGGACCTCGAATAGGTCTTGACCGGGAAGGTGATGATTCGGCCGGGGGGGGGGGCTCAGCCCGATCCATTCACAGGACAATAATCCACAGGGCATTTTCTGAAGACAATGAACCTAGGTGTTCATTCCTAGATCATCAACCACGGTCGACGAGGATTTCACACCTACCCTCCCTCCCCCCCCCAGGTAACGACCGGCACTCGGTATCGTTGAACCGACCCCCATCCCCATCCTCATCCCCGTCGGGATCCCCACCATTTATTACCAGTTGGGGATACCCCCTGGAAGCCCGAAGGGAACGGCCTCCATCCCCATCCAGGGGGGTAGATCGGCCAATCTCGAGGAGGGCGGAGGGGGAGTGGCGAGGGGCGAGCAGCAGGGACGGGGAGTGGCCACAGTGGAGGCCCACGCCAAGAACCACCCTGCTTGCCTCCAGGGTGCCCTGGGTTTCTTGGGGTTTCGATAGTTCTGCTATGGAAAGCGCGACGTTCCCACACCAAACATCAATAGACGTCCTGGGGCCTCAGGGTTGGGCTTCTTGTGGAAGGCTCCTTGTGGTCGAGCTCCTGCTATCCGGATCCCGCCCGCTCAGCCTCAGAGGCAGGATCTCCCCGGCAGCAGGCGCAGGACAGGCCCTGCCCGCACGAGAGCGGCGGCGCGCCACAGGGTCACCGGGCGCGTCCCACTACTCGCAGGGTGCCGACTCGCAGACGTCTGAACAGAAGCATGTCTTCCTCTGTGGAGTGGGTCGTAAATCCCCCGCGGCGGATCTAGGCCATTTGCGAGTAGTTCCTCTGCGAGTAGTGGAACGCGCCTGTCCGCCGGTATCCCCCCCCACCCGAGGCGCACGACGGGTGCATCTCGGCGGACGAGGTGGAGGACGCCATGTGCGTCTGGATGACCTACGTGGACGGCCCCCGCCCTCCCCAGATCCCCTCGCATTGTGAACAAATCGCGACAGGATGTTTTTCTATATTTTCGGCCTCAGGAAGCCCTTGCCAGGCCCTGGGAGCGTCAAAACACAGCTCGGGACGAGAAAAACTGGTCCTGCGGAAAGGGGTCCAGACCTCTGGGGGTCGACGTGAAAAAATCACGACGTCGGGCTCCCTGCTGCCTCCCCAGCGAGCCGAAGCTCCGACAAAATCGGAGCGGCCAGTTGTTGTCCGTTTTCGGACCCAAGAGGCTTCCAAGAGGTCCCCCTTCCTTCCGCCTCCCTCCGCCTCCCTCTCCGCCTTCCCCTCTTCCCTCTCCTCCTCCTCCTCCTCCTCCTCCTGATCCTCCTCGTCCTCGTCCTCCTCCTCCTCCTCCTCCTCCTCCTCCTCCTTCTCCCCCGTAACCATTTTGGCTCAAGATGTTTGTGCCCCGTGGCAGAGCACGGAGAGCCCTGGTCCGGGGACAGTCAAGGACAACTGCTTTCTGCACTCGTTGCGCCCGCAACGCTGTGCCTCTCCATTTGCTTTGCTGCGGGGACGCAGCCTACATATCACGCGCGATATGTGCAGGCGGGCGCGGGCCTCGCCTCTCCTCGAATTGACGCGTCCGCATGGGGATCCCTGGCGTCACTGCTACACCCCCGCGAGCCTCCATTGCCGAATCCAGCGACAAAGGCAAGGGCAAGGGCAAGGACATCGTCATGGGGGACCCTTGGGCTGCTGGCGCCCAGAAGCTCGCTGCCACTGCCATCCCAGCTCTTTACAACAGAAAAACTACAGGACCTGCTGCATACCCAAGTCGACAAGGCCACCGCCGCCTTCGAGGCCACCTCCAAGCAAGTGGCTGTTGCCGCGCAGGCCGAGCTCCTGGCTTCCATCACGAAGACGACTGAGCAGCTGTGCTCCCGTCAGGAATCCATTGAGCGCGATGTTGCTGAATTCGCATGGCGTGCCGACCGTGCTGAGCGAGTTCAAGGAGATCTACAGGCCAGCGTTGCTGCCCTTCAACAAGCTCTACAACGTGCCGAATCTTTGCACCCATCCATGGACCTGGACGCCGTTGGCTCTTCGGATCGAGCCCCACACGCAGCCACCTTCTGGTGCGGAGCCGCTGCCGAGTTTTCCGTGGGCTCCCTCAAGATTGCCCTGTCCGAGTGGTTCCCCGCCGCCGACGTGGACATCAACGCGCTGCGCATCAACACTGACGGCCCCGCGAAGAGGTTCTCCTTCACGCTCACTGGCGGCGATGTGGTGGCCCTCCCTCGAGCACAGGCTCTACACCGCGCTCTTCGGCAAGGACGTGACTGGCGCCGCTTCCAGGTTAAAGCGTCTGGGGGAACCACACCCGCCTCCGTCTCAGCCGACAAGTCGCCTCGCATGGTCCGCCAGGAAGTCCAGCTCAAGAAGCTCAGCAAGATCATCCTCGAGAAGCACCCCACTCTCGACATTCTCGTCCACCGCACTGGCGGCTTCCTGTCCATTAACGGCGCCCCCATCGTCCAGGTCACTGCTGGTGCTCCGCCTGAGGCAGCCACCAAGGTCCGCTGGTCTGCCACCGCCGGACCCGCAGGCAGCCCCGTCTCGGAGCACAACAACCTGGTGGCCGCGCTGGCGTCCGCGTACGCCAACCCACTGGACGCCGCACGATGGCTTTAGCCCGAGATGGTCTCCATGGTTTCTCAAACCTCAGCGTGATGGGCTCAACGTCATGCCATGGAACTCGCAGGCGCTTCATGGACGATCAGCGTCGCGACGAGACCTGAAGCGCAAGGTGCTCCAGCCGTACATGCGACAACGCGCGGTCGTCGCCATCCAGGAAACCCACGGCAAACACGTCGACATGGACCGCCTGGCTTCCAGCACCGAGCACCACTACGTCGCCTTCCACTCCGCACTCATGGTCGACGGCACCGCCTCTGGGACTGCGGGTGGCATGGCCTTCCTGGTCCCCTTCGATGGAGCCGAGCAACGCCTTCCGCTTGAACAGCGTACTCTACGCTCCTTTCGCGCGATTGTTCCTGGCCGCATTGGAGAATTACGAGTGCGTGACAGCTCCAGGCAGTGCGCGACAACCATCTTCAATGTGCATAGCTACGAGCTGACTGCATTCGATCGTCTGCGATTTCGTGAAGCATGGGAGGCTGCGTCTCAACGTTCGGCCTTGGCTCCCGACACCCACGATGCCATCATGATTGGCGACTTCAACATAGCGGCCACACCTCCGAATAACTTGCTCCGCCCAACGCCCGACTCCACCGCCGAGCGCAACCACTACCAACCCGTCTACTGGAAGAACCCCTTCTCGCAGATGTTGGAGATCACGACCAAGGCCACCGCCCACATGACATGACAGAGGCGACCATCGACCGCTGCTTCGTCTCGCACAACGCCTCTATCATCCCTCACATCGAGACCCTTCTCGTCGCCGATGGCCGTCCTCTTGGCCGAGAAGGAGAGCCCATTTGCGACCGCGAGCATCTGCACCCTCGCCTACGCCCTCGACAACGGAGACTTGATGACGAGCGGGGCGCCCCGGCGTTCTTCTTCGAGCCCATGCGCTACAAGTTCTACTCCCAGCGTCTCATCGAGTGGGCCGGCTCGGACGCCAACCCAACCTCGAAGTGGCGGACAATGAAGCGCATGCTGAAGTTGGCGGCGCGCAAGACTCGCGTCGCCCTCGCCTCCATCGCCGTCTCCAAGCTCCTCTCTGACGAACCCTAGATTATTGCCGAAGCTCGCGCACTCACACGCAGCATAGCCCGCGCCATCTGGTTCCAGGATCTTGCCCGACTGCCCTACACCGACACCTCCGCTGGCGCAGCCCACCTCGTCATCCACAACAACCAGGCCAGCCTCGTGGATCGCGCCGCCTTCGAGGCTGAGCACTCTGCAATGCAGCTCCAGATTGCCGACAAGCGTCGTCTTGCTGCCGCTGCTCGCTCGCGGGCCGCCTTTGCCTCGCAACAGCAAGCCCTTGGTGAGCGATGTCGTCGTCGTCCCCGACGTATCGGGCAGCGCAGCGAGGTCTGGAAGCCGCTCACTACACGCCTGATCATCGCTGGCATCCGCATCTCCGATAGCCACACCCATCACAGCGTGTCCGACCCGATGAACATGCACAGCGCCATCCAGACTCACTGGGCCAACGTCTTCGCCGCCAAACCAGTGCGCCACCAGAACATGCTTCACTACCTGGGCTCGGTCTTCCCTCAACAGCCATTTTGTCATCTACCGCTCCCTGGTGTTGACGCACTCCAAACTGCAGCTGGACTCTCGGGTGATTCTGCCCCTGGCCCTGATGGGCTTCCATGCCGTGCCTGGGTCAACTCCGAGGGTAGCATCGGCGTGCTCCACGATCTCCTCATTTCTATGGCGACTGGTGGTCCCATCTTATAGGACCTGAACTACGCCATGATGGCCATGCTCCCCAAGGGCGACGAGCCGCTCGGCAATTACAAGTGCGCCCGCAGCCCCGACTGCCTGCGCCCCTTGGCCATGAAGAACAGCGACATCAAGATCATCGCCTCTGCCGCCGGCCGCGTCTTGCACACGGTCGCATCGGACACCGCGGAGGAGCAGCAGGGCTTTGCCACTGGCCGCCAGTTCCTCACCAACACAGTCACGGTCGACACCATCGCGCGCATGACCAGCATTGACGACGACGCCGGCAGGATGATGCCCTGCTTCACCAGCATGGACATTGCTGCGGCGTGTCCTGGTCTCGCGCACGACTGACTTTGGGAAACGCCTTTCCGTTGGGGTATTCACGGCCCATTTCTCCACTTCTTGCAGCGTTGCGACCACGTGGCGCTGGCGTTCCTTGAGCTTGGTGGCACCCACCGTCCTCTCCTACTGGCTGAGTCTGGGGTGGCCCAAGGATGTCCACTGAGCGGTGCGCTATAGGCCCTCATCTTCGACCCCATTATCAAGGGCATCAAGCTGGACCTCGCCGCACTCGGACGCGGCCTCCTCAATGCGTGCGCGGACGACCTTGGCGTCGTCCTTGCCGCCCTTCGCGATCTTCGTGCTCTACTCCCACACCTTCGGGTAGCGCGCCTACATGCTGGGCTACGCCTTCAAGCCAATAAGTGCACTTCTGTTCCAACCTGGTCTTTGCCTACGCCCGAGATCATCGACGCTGCGCGCAGCATCCTTGCCGACATCTACGCGCCTTGGAAAGACTTCACCATCAGAGGCGTGGCGCGGTACCTTGGTGCCTACATCGGCCCAGGTGCATCTCTTGACCTTCAATGGCGCGGACCCGCCGCCAAATGGTGGGAAATGCCCCAGATCCTCGGTGACTCCCGCGCCCGCATTCAGCAGCAGCTCCGCCTCCGTGACGTGTCTTTCGTACGTGGGCCAGCTCTTCCAGCCTTCCCCCTCCTTCTTGGCCAAGGAGATCCACGGCTTGCACAATCTGATCCGAGCGGCACCCTCGAGCTTCACAAAGATGGACATCCTGTCGTTCTCCCAGTGGGCCTCCGCCGCGATGCCGCAGGGCCTAGAGACATTTCTTGCTCTACTATGTGGCGCGCTGCGACCACTACCATCGCAGGCTGGCAGCCCCTACTACGTGACCATCATGATCTCGCCGACGAAAGTCTGCCCATCTGCCAAGTGATAAGTGGCCGTTGGTCTGCTGACTGCTGGGTTGACAAGACCTCGATTGCACAGCGCTTCGACGCCATTGCCAAGCACCAGCTGTTCCCGACTGGCGATGGCTCGACCTTCCAGGCCATCGCCCGTTCGACTGGATCGACGCCGCGTGCCGCCTCCACACCCAGTCGTGCTCACCGGCTTGCCGCGCTAGCTGGACAACAAGCGATTGCTGCTGCCAGTCGTGACAGGGCTGGTCAGAGCCATGCCAGGCACCGTTGCAGGGCGCAAGAGTCTGATTCGACCGCGACATGGGCTGCTCCCAGCACCTCACCACAACAAGCCTTCTTACGTGAGATCCAGCGCCTGCTGCGCCACGACGTCTTCCACAAGAATGTTTTTCGACGCCTTCAAGCCGGGTTCCCTCTGCTCCCCGCTGATCGTGGCCATCCGACCGACGGTGCTGGAATTCAGGGAGCGATCCCAGGTGTGCCAATCGGCACGTTCGTGGCGGTGAATCCAGATGCACTACAGCCGCCAGCTGGCGCCGCCTCCCAAGACTCCTTGAAGTACCTGTACGAATGCCGAAGCTTGGGCCGAGCGCCGGGTCCCCAGCGCGTCCTTTGGCGACGACATCGACAACCGCGAGGACTGGATGGACTGGTGCGTCTCCTATGCGACCGCCGTGTTGCAGCGACCGCAGTTTGATGCGCACTTCAGCCTCGACGACGCCTTCGGCTCCGACACGGCCCGCCGTGACAGGGCGGTTGAGATTTGCACGATGGCTTGGCAGCGCAGTGGTCGACCTCGTTTTCGAGGCCTGGAGGTCTACAATGCCGAGCGACAGACAACCGCCGTTCAGCGTGAACTTGCCGAGGAAGCTGCTGAACATCGAGCTCGCCGCCGCTGGACCGAGCACGAGACCCACAGCAGCCCGCGCCTGGCTCCTGCTGGCGACCACGCGACCTCGACGACATCTACCACGGCAAGCACGTGCTGGCGCCAGATGGACATCCTCGAGAACGGCGACGCTTCCTCTCGTGATGGACTACTTGGGAGGACGTTCGTCCCCACCTTCATCGCCACCGAGTGGTCCGCGGTCCAGACGCTGACGGGCGCCTGGACTATATCATATCGCACGCACGTGAACCCGCACAAGAAGCCGTGCTTGTTCGGGTGCGACCCGCGCGATGCCTCCAGGAACGTGGGCGACATCAGCCACTACGTGACCTGCCCCGCGACCGCGGACGACCATCCTCTCCATGTCATCGCGCGCCTCGCGGTGCCCTACCGCACGTACAACATCCTGCGCACCAAGCACGACGCCGACCATCCAACGGCTGCAAGTGAAGGTCAGGGAGCGATCCCACGTGCACCACTCGCTCGCAGCCGCGAGCCTGATGGCGCTGAAGGTCAGGGAGCGATATCAAGTGTTCCAATCAGCGCCATCGCCTCGCCCCACCAGAACAACCCTTACGAGATCCACCAGGCCGCCGCTGCCGCCGCCCGCCGTGCCCTGAGGCTGCCTCGTTGCCTCGTGGTCTGTGCGGGGCCGCAGTGTCGCTGATCGACAGACGTGCGCTCCCCCCAGCGTGTCGTTTGCTCCTCCTCGTCGTCCTCCTCCTCCTCCTTCTCCTCTTCCTCCTTCTCCTCCTCCTCCTTTTCCTCCTCCCCTTCCCCTCCCCCCTCCTTTTTATTATCCTCCTCGTTCTCCTTCTCCTCCTCCCCCCCGTCCTCCTCGGGCCCTCGCTGGGCCTCGGGACCGTCAGCAAAACATTTCAGGACGAAAAACCGGCCCTGGGGGAAAGTGGTCCAGACCTCCGGGGGCCACGCATCCAACAAGATTTGGTTTTAGGCCGTTCTCGGCTTCAGGGGGCCCTCGCTTGGCCTCGGGCCCGTCTGGACGGAAAACGGGCCATGGAGGAAGTGGTCCAGATCGGGAGTTTTGAGACGAGGGTCCATGCAAACGGGGGTTAGCCAGAGCGCCAGATCTTGCAGGATCCTGCGTCGCATTCACCTGGGCTTAGGCGCAGGATCCTGCAGGATCTTGCAGGTAGTGGTACAAAATCAGCCCATCATCATCAGCATCATCATCATCATCATCATCATCATCATATATGTGTGTATCAGAGTGAGGGGGCCGAACAGTCATTCATTATCCCTGGGTGCGTGGCTGAAGTGGGGATCCGTGGTGGTGAGGATTCAGCCTGCTGCGTTGTAATTTGTTTGTTGTCGTCGTCCCGCCCGCGACCCTCCCCGCGACCCACCCCGCGACCCACCCCGCGACCCGCCCCGCGACCCACCCCGCGACCCACCCCGCGACCCAACCCGCGACCCACCCGCGACCCACCCCGCGACCCACACGCGACCAACTCGCGACCCACACCGCGACCCACCCGCCCGCGACCCATCCGCGACCTACCCGCGACCCACCCGCAACCCACCCGCGACTCAGCCGCGACCGATTTGCGACCCAGCCGCGACCCACCCGCGACCTACCCACATGGGTTTCACGGAAATTTTGGCGCCTGCGGCGGGCTTTTCGATCCAGAGTCTCGCAGACTGCCGACGTCACCACCGCCCCCATCATTCTTATCCGCATCGGCGGGGTGCTACGTGTATGTAGCACCCCGCAGTTGCGGATGAGAGTGAGGGGCGGGCGCGACGTGGGTCGTGGGTGGGTCGAGGGTGAGTCGCGGGCGGGTCTCGGATTGGGTCGCGGGGGGATCGCGGGTTGGTCACGGGTTGGGTCGCGGGCGGGACGGCGACAACAAACAACAAACCACACCGAATTCACAACAAACAACAAGCATCAATAACAACACCAGCAGCAACAGCAACAACACGGCACACAACAAAACAACAACAACAACAACAACAACAATCACTTTACCCGAACGCTCAGTGTTCTCACCAGTGCCAGGGTTTTCATGCGACGCCAGCCAATACCCCCACTTTGTGGGGGGGCAGTGCAAGCTCTACCAAATATCCACACGACTCTTCGCCACCACCCACACCCAGCTTCCCGCCCTATGACGTTCGGACACTTCACTTCGTGGCCTGCGGACGACCGTGGCTACTACACTGGCGTGGAGTACACACCCACAGAAGTTGTTAGGACAGCGCGCGCGGGTAGAAATTTTGAAAAGTCGTGCAGGTGTTTTTCGAGGACCTACGGTGCGATTCGTGTGATTTTATGATGCGCGGTGCTAAAATTCTTAAGAAGCCCAATGGTTTTTGGAGATTTCGGCGTGCGCGCGCGAAGAAAAAACGAATGTGTCCCGCATGGTATTATTTGACAGGGATGATGGCCCTGGCAGGTGCGCAACCGTTGTCGCAGAAGTTCGAAAAAGTTGCTCGCAAAAGCCCGTTTGACAGAAATGTTTAAAAAGTGTTGGGTTTCCTACGAATCCGCAAGAGCGCGCGGGATGAGATTTTGACATTTTTTTGTTGAAAAACCATTGGTTTTTTGATGTTTTTATGTTAAAATCGCTCCGAACACTAAGCTTTTGGAAGGATTTCGTCTTGCGCGCGCGAATGTCCACTTTACCTTATTTTTTGCAAGGGATTCTTGAAATTTGATTATATTAGAACAAGAAATGTCATTTTATAGTGTTTTTTGCAAGGGAAAGCGGGGGGGAACAAAACAACCGGATCTTGATCACATCGAATTACCTGAGGCTTCCTCACGAAAATGATGAAAATGTAGCTGCGGCCTAGGCGGCGCAGGGGGGCCGTGCACCAGGGGCCCCAACAATAATTATTCTTTAGAATTAATAATGTTCAACAACATCAGCAACAATCACAACAATCACAACACCAACAACAACAACGCCTGAAATCCAATTAACACCACCACCAACACGAATAACACCACCAACATCAATTATACTGACAACAAGAACAACAGTCCCCACCACGGAACCCCATGTCAGCCACGCACACAGGGACAGTGAATGAGCGTTCGGCCCCTCACTCTAATACATATCTTTATATTCAGACACCCTCGAATGGAGAGTTTCTATGTCTGATTAGGAGGGAGGCAGCGTGCAGATCACCACTGGGGCCAGCGACGTTCTACGCCGCCACCCTCCCGGAAGGTGCAGGCACAATGCGTCGGCGGGCGTTTGTGCATATCATGTTTCAGGCGTGCGTGGAGGCCAGAGGGCGTCGTGGTGATGTGCCGCGCAGGCCTCGCGCGCTGCTGCGATGGGGGATTCCGTCGCCCTACACCGACCGCCTCAAACAACGTCAAGCTTCCTGACTCCAACTTCCCCGAACGACCGCAGCTCTTTGTGAACAGCCACGCGAACACCTGTTCCAAGACGCCCAGTCACCAAACACGCCATTCTGGAAATTCAGAATCGCGAAAGCGTGATTCCGGAATTCCGCGAAACGTGATGCCGGGAAAGTCCAGAATTTAAACGTCTCATCGCTATAATACAAACCATAATCCCGGACATTCCGAAACGACGTTCCGGAATTTTTTCAATCTCTCACATGCATTCTTGAAATTCCAGAATCTACGGAACCGCGTGGTTGGAGATAGGGCGTCATGCAATGGGAATTTGCGTCACCGTTCAAATTGGATGGTGGTCTGCTGGGGAGTTGAAATGCTATGTTCTGACTCTGTCCCTGGCGGCCGTCGCAGCACCAATGTTGTTGAAATCTGGATGCAACTTGCTTCGGGTTATCGTAGGTAACATCGCCCTCGGGCGTGTCCCTCTGCAGGAGGAATCTTCAAAATAGTCCAGACATAGTCTGGGGACGATTTTTTGAATATGCAGTTTTTTTGACGACTGAATATGTTCGGGATATTTTTCTTTATTTGTCCTCCATAATCTGCCTGTAGGGGGACATGCCCGACCTAAGCATTGGCACCACACCCCATTATGCCCCACCCCTCTCCGACCTCGAGGCCCACCTTCTGTGCCTGAAAGGGGGCCCCCTGGGGGCCAAAAGGGGCACGAAAGGTGCACGCTTCTCCCCCTCCCATCGATCGCCCCCCCCCCCCCCCCCCATTAGGCAACGCCGCAACGCCCAAGGCCCACAGGGGTCCACCCCCAGCATTGGCTGGAGCGCTTGGAGTTGCCCAGGACACTCTTGCGTGTAGACGGCGAGGGTGCGGTGAGAGGCTGCGCTGCACTCCTCCCGATCAGCACGGAGGCTGCGTCATGCTACGGACAACGGGACGAAGGAACACATTGAAGACAGCTCGCAGCATAGCAGCAGTAGCAGGCCATGAATCCTTCGATCGCGCCTAGACAAATCAGAACTGACTTTCCGGGTGCAGCCAGAGGAGGGAACGGCACCGATGTCATTGCCTTTCCCTCGTCTCTGCCCCTGCGGGCCTCCTGGGGGCCCTCGCCGCCATGGGCTGGACTCGCCGCGACATTCTAGTCAGAACGTCTCGGGAAGGGTGAGGGGACCAGCGGTATCGATGCCCTTTGTCACCACCCACCAAGCCACCCAAACCTAGCCCGATGGCCCCAGTTTTGCCCTCCATTCCCAGTCGGGGGGCGGGACGGGGAGCACTAGAACAAGAACGCGGACGGAGCCCGCTCGCCCCCCCAAACCCGAGGTTCGGGTCTTCGGGTTCGACGGGGGCGGTCTGGTAGGCAGTCACTCTTGTCCCACAGAACGTGGGCGCGCCTCACGCACCAAAAGATGTCGACGGGATGCGCCACCGTGCCCTTCCCCGCCGTCTCCGCCTCCCCTTTCCTCTTTGCTGCGCGCACTCTGTGGCGCATCGGTGTTGCTTCTTCTCCTGCACTGATGATCGTCGTGTGCTCACCGTCCTCATCCTGAACACGCAATGTCTTTAACTTTGCCAACACGGGGTCCCCCGAAGCCCCGGCCCTTACCTTCGGGCCGGTTCCTCATCCCGAGTCGTTGTTTGACGATCTTGGGGCCGGGGCCTTTGGAGGCAATACAAGGGTCGAAATCCTCCCGTCGAGATTTGTTCGCGACGCGATGATATTTGGGATCCCTCTTTCTTTGGTTCTTCGCCAACACTCCCTGCGGGCGCGGTGGCGAGGAGAAGCGCCAGGAGTGGGACGAGAAGGCGCGGTGGCCGCGCTCACGGTCGCCGCGTGCGAACGCCTGGGTATGCAGGGGGATGCGGTTGGGCGGGGAGAGGTTGGGGAAGAGATTGGTGATGGCGGCAGGAACGGACATGCGGCTGGGGACGATGATGATGATGCTGATGATGATGCTGCTGATGATGATGATAATGACGCTGATGATGATGAGGATGAGGATCAGGATCAGGATGAGGATGAAGATCGGGGTGATGATGATGATGATGATGATGATGATGATGATGATGATGATGATGATGATGATGATGATGACGCGGAGGAGGAGGAGGAGGAGCAGGATGATGGTAATAGTCCTGGTGATGGTTTTGGTGATCATGGTGGTGGTGGTGATGCTGTTCATGAAAAGTAAGGTGGTTATGATGTTTGTGTTGGTGGCTCTGGCGGTGATGCTGACGAAGAAGATGATGATAGTGGTAATGATGATCGTGATGATGATGGCGATGATGGTGGTTGTGGTGGCGATGATAGACTGGAACGGATTTTAGTTGTGTTGTTCCCCCCCTTTTTCTCTCCGCGGGGATTCAAACTGGTCCCTTCTCTTCCTGCTCCTCCTCCTCTTCCACTTCTTCCTCCTTCTACCACTTCTCCTCCTCCTTCTCGTGCTCCTCCTCCTGCTCCTCCTCGTCCTCCCTCTGCTCCGCCTCGTCCTGCTGTTCCTCCAGCTACTACTGGTTCCGTTACTGCTACCATGGTTATCCATACTATCATTGTTACCACTACTACCACTACTGCGACTACGATGACTACTACTACTACTACTACTGCTACTACTACTACTACTACTGCTACTACGACTACTACTACTACTACTACTACTACTACTCCTACCCCTACTACTACTACTACTACTACTACTACTACTACTACTACTACTACTACTACGGCTACGACTACGACTACTATTACGACGACTACTACTGCGACGACGACTATTATTACGACTACGACGACTATTACTGCTACTACGGCTGTGAACTCTATTACTACTACTACCACTGCCACTACGACGACTACTACTACAACTGCCACTACTACTACTACTACTACTACTACTACTACTACTACTACTACTACTACTACTGCTACGACTACGACTACCGACTACAACGCCTACTACGACTAGAAACACTAGTATCCGTAGTATTACAAACACTGTTCTTTTATTCACGGCTACGACGACGACTACTCTTACTACTACTGTTACTACTACTACGACTGTTGCTACTTCTACTACTGCGACTACTACTACTACTACTACCACTACTACTACTATTAATACTACTACTACTACTACTACGATTATTACTACTACTACGACTGCTACTACGACTACGACTACTACTACAACAACTATTACCACTAGTGCCCTAATTACGACTACTGCTATTACGGCGACGACTACTAGTACAACTACTAGTGCTACAGTGCCAGCGACGACTAATACTACTAGTTATGCGGGTTGTACTGCTACGGCCACTAGTATGTCTACTATCCCTAGTGCTACAAGTGCTACTACTACTACTACTACTACTACTACTACTACTACGACTACTACTACTGGCACCACTACTACTATTACTTCTACTTCTACGGCTGCTGCTACATCTGTTGCCATTATTTCCCTTTCCTAATACAAGTTCACGACCACAGGTACGACAACGACTACTCGTACTACTATTGCTACGTGCCTGCTCTACTTGGACTACGACCAGTACTTCTACCACCTGTTTTTTTATTACCCCGACCAAACTCCCCATTGGTACGACCACTGGTTGTACCACTTGTTATAGCAATTACTTACCACAATACTATTACTTCGACTGCTGCGACTACTACTACTACTACGACTACTGTCGCTACGACGACTACTACTACTACTACTACTACTACTACTACTATTGTGGCTACTACAACTACTACTACGGCTACCATTCCTACCACCATTACTACTACTACAACTACTACTACTTCTACTGCTACTACCAATCCCACCACTGCTTCTACTACAACTACTACTACTACCACGACGACTACTGCTGCTACGACTACTGCCGCTACTACTACTGCTACTGCTACTGCTACCACTATTACGGATATGAGTAGTACGATGACGACGACGAGGACTACGTCGTTTTTTATTCGACTTACTGCGGGTACTGCTACTCCGATTATTCGTGCGATTATTTGTCCTACTAAGACTACAACATCTATTACTACGACGACGGCAGCTGCTACTACTGCTACGATTACTACTACTACTACTACTACTACTATTACTACTACTACTACTACTACTACTACTACTACTGCTACTACTACTACTACTACGACTACTACTACTACTACTACTACTACTACTGCTAGGGCAACTGGTCATCTGTGGACGGTAGGGGTTCGGTTTGGGTTTGGGTTTGGGTTTGGGTTGGGTTGACTCGGATTAATATCCCATTGATATGGTTGATTCCTCCTTGTTGCGAGTGATCCCCATTGATTCCCTTCGATTCCGAGTGATTCGTATTGTTTCCGATCGGTTCTTATTGGTTTCTGGTTCCCATTGATTCGTATTGATTACTATTGGTTTTCTGTGTTTTTTTTCAATTCCACTTGGTTCTTGTCTGTCCGAATTTAGTCCTACTCAACCCTATTGTTTCGCATTGTTTCCTAGTGGTTAGTATTGGTTACTATTTTTCTATTGGTGCCGAGTGGTTCTCATTTATTGCCGTAGATATCCCTTATGATTCCTATTGGTTGTGTTTGTTTCCCACTACTCCCAATACATTTCGATTAATTCGTGTGGAAGTCCCAAGGAATCATGAGCACTGACGAGAAACCCACAGGAACAAAATGCGTTCTAAGGTCTGCTGCGGGTCCCTCGGGAATGCTCAGGAATCCTCCGGAAGCATACCATTAGTTTGCACATTCAGCGCAATATTCTCAATCTTTTGTAGTCACCCCCCAACAAAAAGAACCGGCCGTAAGCGACATCACACAACACCGGCAACAAATAAATCTTGACCCTACTACCACCACTACTTCGACTACTATTATTACAACTACTACCACTACTAGTACGACTACTACTACTACTACTACTACTACTACTACTACTACTACTACTACTACTACTACGGCTACTACTACTACTACTACCACTACTACTACTACTACTACTACTACTGCTACTACTACTACTACTACTACTACTACTACTACTGCTACTCTACTACTACTACTACTACTACTACTACTACTACTACGACTACGACTACTACTACTACTACTACTACTACTACTACTACTACTAGTACTAGTACTACTACTACTACTACTACTGCTACTACTACTACTACTACTACTACTATCATTAGTATTACTCGTAATACGACGACTACAACTGCTTATGCGACTACTACTGCGACTACGTCTACTACTACTACTACTACTACTACTACTACTACTACTACTACTACTACTATCATTATTATTACTCGTAATACGACGACTACAACTGCTTATGCTACTACTACTACTACTACCACCACCACCGCGATCACTACTACTACTACTACTACTACTACTACTACTACGACTACTGCTACTAGCACCACCGTTACTACTACTTCTACTACTACTACTACTACTGATACTACGACGACGGCGACGACACTACTACTTCTACTACTACTACTACTACTACTGCTACTACTACTACTACTACTACCACGACTACTACTACCAATACTGTTACTACTACTACTACTACTACTACTACTACTACTACTACTACTACTAGTTCTACTACTGCTACTACTACTACTACTACAACGACGACGACTACTATTTATACTACTACGACTACGACTACTACGACCACTACTACTACTACTTCTACGGCTACTACCGCTACTACTACTGCTACTACTTGTAGTAGTAGTATAGTAGTAATAGTAATAGTAGTAGTAGTAGTAGTAGTAGTAGTAGTAGTAGTAGTAGTAGTAGTGGTAGTAGTAGTAGTAGTAGTAGTAGTAGTCGCAGTAGTAGTATTAGTAGTAGTAGTAGTAGTAGTAGTAGTCGTCGTCGTCGTCGTCGTCGTCGTCGTCGTCGTCGTCGTCGTACTACAACTACTACGGCTATATTACTACTGGTTCCAGTACTAGTAGTCGTAGTCGTCGTCGTTGTCGTCGTCGCGGCGGGAAGGATTATCCCGCTATTGCTTGGCGGGCAGGATAGAGCTTCTTTCTTCCAGGGGGTATCCCACGGTTGACGACCCGCTTCGCAAGAGGACGTGTGAGCACCTTCTCCTGTGGATAGCAATAAGAGTCAGTGGGTGTGGTTGTAGTCGTGAGTGTAGTCGTAGTTAGAGTCGCGACTAATCGTGATTCTTGAAGTCACGATAGCAGTCGTCACCGTCGTTGTTCTTGTAAGATTGATCGTCGTCGTAGCCTGAGTCGCAAGCGTAAGCCTCGTCGCCGCAGCGGGTGCTATTCGTTTCTCTGTATCGTTATGAAGTGTTGGATGGTTTTGGGGGCTTTTCCCAAGGAAGAATGCACCTTGATTTACCCTACACAACCGAAAATTGTGAGCACGTTTCTAAGCGGATTCTAGTGTGTATATATATATATGTTTATGTATGTATGTTTGTGTTTATATATATATATATATCGGCGTGCATATATATACATATATCGCCCCCCTTCCCCCATCCAAGGTCACACATACTCATTGTTATCCTGGCCTGATTCGTATTCGTCTCCGTCCCCTCTCTCTCTACATATATATAGATATATATATAGATAAATATAGATCGACACATTCTCCGCCGAAGGCGTTGCTCACAATTTCCTTGTTCCTCTCGTCGTCGTCGTCGTTGTTGCGTGGCGGGTACCGCGGGGAAAGATCAGTGCCCCATGATCGGCGGGGCCCAGTCCGTCAATGAGGCTTCATCAGAAATCATTAGTTGTTCATTGCTGGTGTTTCGGAGTAAAGACTTATCTTGGTTACTTGTTGTAGTGGTGATGAGTACGGTGATGATGGTCGCGGTGGTTATGCGGATGAAGAGGAGGTTGCTGGGATGGTGATGGCGAGGATGAGGGTGATGATGGGATTATGACGATGATGATGTTGGGGTTGTTGGTGACGGTGGTGATGGCTTGGAACGGGGACGGGAAGCAAGGCGATGGAGACGGGAGTCTGGATGAGGGCACGGGTGGGGATTGTGACGTGGATTGGCCTCCGTCAGTCTTCTCTTTGTCCTGTCTTTTGTTGTCATCCCTTGTATTCCTCCCTCGTCCTCCTCCGTCTTTTTCGTTCTCTTCTTCTCCCAACTCCCGTGGCCACTGTGGCTCAAGATGCCTTTTTGCCCCGGGCAGGGCACGGATACCGCTGGTCCTCGGCAGCCTGTCGTTTTTCTTGCAACGGACCCTGGATTGTGCGTTGGCGATCGGCCCGGAGTTCGTTGTGAGCTTTTGAAGGAGCATTCCTGTTGCATGTCGTGGTGGAAGGACGATGTGATGAGTGCTAGTGGCACCCCGTTCTCCTGTCAAGGCGGCGGAGGGTCGGTCTGGAAGGACACGCCCCACGAAGTTGGCAGCCTGCGCAAGCACTTGGAGCATTGTCGCTATGGCCACCGCGAGTGCAGCAGATGCGGTGGCCCTTACACGTCTGCGGCTGCTGCCTTTACACGTCACTGCTTGCACGTCTTCTGCTGCCTCGACCTTCCCGGAGCCCACGAAAGTGGCGAGAATTGCGAAGTTTGCAGCCGCCCAGGGAGTAGCGAGGTCCGGGCTTGATCTGCGTGTTCCCCCACTCCTTTGGACCTCCCAGGAGCCCGCGAAAGCGGTGACAGTTGGGCAGTTTGCAGCCACTCGCGGGGCAACGTGGTCCTGGCTGGATCTGCGTGCCCCCCACTCCGCTGGACCTCCTAGAGGCTCACGAAAGTGACGACAGTTGCGCAGTTCGCAGCCGCTCATGGAGCAGCGAGGTCCTGGCTGGATCCGCGTGTCCCCCATTCCGCTGGACCTCCCAGGAGGTCACGGAAGTGGCGACAGTTGCGCAGTTTGCAGCCCCCGAGATAGCGCACTGGAGGCAGGAGAAGAGGGGAGGAGGGATGTCTGGAGACCAAAGCGAGAACCCTACACAGGAGGGTTGGGAAACAGGCCTTCCCTTTTTTATGCTCCCCCTCCCTCCCGCAGCTTAAGAAGTACGACAAGGATGGCACGGGTGCGCTCACGCGGGACGAGGTCAGCGAGTATCTCAAGGACCGCTGCCCGCGGGGAAGCGCCGGGGATGATGGTCGAAGGGAGGGAGCAGAGGGTCGAACAAGAATACATTCCACAAGCATGAACTTTCAGAGAGACCCCTTTGACGGCGCCTCCAGCGCCGATCCAAGAATCCTTCGCGGACCTTCCCAGTGATCCTAGGTTGTTCTGTGCCCACCAACGAGTGTCGTACGGGAGCTGGAACCCTTGAACAGGGTACCATCGTATTTCGCGCAATCAGAAAAAGGGAATTGGGCACACTGGAGGAGGAGCAGGAGGAGGAGGACGAGGACGAGGAGGAGAAGGAGGAGGAGAAGGAGGAGGGTAAGGAGAAGGATGAGAGGAAGGAAGGAAGAGGAAGAGGAGGAGGAGGAGGAGGAGGAGGAGGAGGAGGAGAAGAAGGAGGCCGAGGAGGTGTGGGATGAGCAGGATGAGGATGAGGAGGAGGAGGAGGAGGAGGAACAGTTGCAGCATGAGCAGGGGTGGGAGGAGCTCGGGTGAGCAGGTGGACCAGGGGAAGGCGGAAGAGGCAAGGAGTGGGGCGACAACGAGGAGGAAGCAGTCGAAGACAGACACGTAGCCTGCGCTTGGGCGAGGGCGTCATTGTGAGAGGCGCGGGCAACACGCCGATCATGAATCGAGGTTCGCGCTGCAACGGGAGCACAACTTCGAAACACCGAAACGGTTCCGAGTGGAAACGCAGATACAACACCATCTCTGTCTGAAACAATGTGTGTCAATCTTGCTCGGAGAGGGCAGGCCACCTTTGGCACGCAGTCGTGATAGAGAGGAGGCAAGCTTTTGCATCGAGTGCTTTCGCAGGATGCATAAGGAGGGATATGGAGGAAAGGGGAAGGAGGGAGGAGGGGAAGAGGAGGAGGAGGAGGAGATAGAGGAAAAGGCCCTTGAGGAGAAGCAGGGTGAAGATCGTGAGGCGGTTCCTGGACGGGGTGGTCCACCTGCATTTTCCGCGCGGCAAGCCGATCCAACATGCGTCGAGTCTTCCTCCTTCCTTTTCTCTTGCCCTCCCGTCCTCCCGCTCGTACCCTCAGTAGCCATTTTGGCCCAAATCCGGAGCAGGGAGGTTCAGTGATCTGGAAAGTGGGAAGGGGGAGGGGCGCCCCACCCAGCGATCCCTGGACCACCCTCTCAGGCTTGCACTCAATGTGAGCTTCTGGCAGGAACCACTTTCTCTTACGGTATTCTGGAGGTCCCTTCGCATGAGAACAAACAAAAAGTGTGGTCGCCGCCTGGCCCAGTTGCCCTGGGCCGTGCGGCAGGCTGCTCGGGGCGCCTCCCGCTCCACCAAGCACGTGGCAGTGGGGGGTTCCGCCGCCGAGCGCGGGGCAGCCGAAGTCATCCACACATCCGCAGCGTGGCGCGCAGGCCCAGGATGGTAGGCTCGCCACCACCGGCCTCCTGGCGCAGCTCAGGGCTCGTGTCGGTCTCAGCGGCACTGGCCAGGCAGAGCTCCAGGCGCTGGAGGGGGCCGTTGTGCCGCAGCAAGCTCCTGCGCCGCAGCCTCAGCGGCACCTGCTCCAGGCGCCAATCTCGGGGTGGGGGTGGCCGCAGGGCGCAGGCGTGACTCCAGAGTTGCGTGGGCAAGGAGGACGAGGCGCAGCGCTGGTTCGACGAGCGCAAGGAAGCGGCAGCTGCAGCGGTTATCGCAGCAGCGGAGGCCGCCAAGGCGCGAAAGCAGGAACTCGCGGCACAGCTCGCCAAGCACTTCCAGCAGGGGCGCCCGCAGTGATTCATCGAGAGGAGTCGGTGCGAGCTCCTCGCAGACCAACCTATTACAGCTCCTCGGCGTTACTCCCAAAGGTTTCTTCGCAGGGGACGAAAATTAGTGTTTCGGCCGCAGTCTCTCACGGTTGGCGGTTTAGTCCATTTGGGGAATTGCATGGTTTTCCTCATGGCCTGGGTGGCTCCAATCAGGAGCGGTGGTGTCGGCGCGTGTCGTCGGTGGTGTGCGGGTTGCCGCCCGCCCGGCTCGGGGGCGGGGCAGCAAGTTCCCGGCGTCCTCGTCGCCGCGGTCGCCGTGGCCACGCGGACGCGCTCCTGGCGGACTTGGTTTGTCCAGTGCGCGTGCCTCCATTGTCCCTGCTTGGTGTGCCGCGGCTTTCGTTCCTCGTTCGTCACGTCCCGCACTCCTCGTTGCCAAGTTGCGCGTTCGCTCTGTATGGCGTCTTTGGCTGGGTCTGCAACCGCCAGATGGGCCTCCCCGTCGGGTCGGTTGCGGTCTGGCCCGCGGCGAAGGCTCGTTGCAGTGCATGCCCAGCTGGGGTCGCTACTGTCTGGCCAGCTGGGCCTCCCCGTCGGGTCCTCTACGGTCCGGCCGGCGGGGAGGGGCCGGTTGCATTGCATGCCCAGCTGGGTCCGCTACGGTCCGGCCAGCTGGGCCTCCCGTCGCGTCCGCCACGGTCCGGCTGGCGCGGAGGGGCCCGTTGCGCATTGCATGCCCAGCTGGGTCCGCTACGGTCTTGCCAGCTGGGCCTCCCGTCGTGTCCGCCACGGTCCAGCCTGCGCGGAGCGGCCCGTTGCATTGCATGCCCAGCGTTATGGGTCCGCCACGGTCCGGCCAGCTGGGCCACCCCGCCGGGTCTGCCACGGTCCGGCCGGCGGGGAGGTGCTCGTTGCATCGCGTGCGCAGCTGGGTCCGATACGGCCTTGCTGCTGGCCGCGCAGGTCCAGGCATGCTGGAGTCTCGATGTAGGCCTGGTGGCGCTCCCAGATTTCTGGCGCTGCGTCCCAGATTTGCATTCTGATTGCAAATTCGCGCGTTCTGCCCTTGGGGCCTCAGGTTTGCCGCAGGCCGCCAGGATGTGGCGCCAGCATGCGAGGTCGCCATGCTGGGCCGACAGGGCGCGCGCGCTGGCCAAAGACCCCCGAATCGCACTCTGAGTGCGATTCCGCCGATTCTGGCGTGGGCGCGCCCAGCGTTGCATTTTGCGCGCGGTTTCTTGGGTCCCTGGCTCTGAGGCGCCCAGGTCTTCATTCCGGGTTGTTCGCAGCTTCAGGCGCTTGCGCGCCCAGGTTCGCTATTCACGTGCGACTCCAGCGTTGCCGGCGCTGGCGCCCAGACTTGAATTCCGAGTGCGATTCCATTGTTTTGTCGCTCGCGCGACCAGATTCGCATTCTGAGTGCGATTTGGCAGTTTCTGGCCTCCGCGCGCCCGGATTTGCATTCTGCCCACGGTTTAGCAGAGCCAACATGCATGTGCAGCCTGCGCGCGACTCCGCCGTTCCATCGCCGCGCCCAGATTTGCGTGTCAGGTGTGGCCAGCGCTGGCGGGCCCCGGCTATCAGTCTGAGAGCGATTTCGCGGTCTCCAGCGCCAGCGTGCGCAGTTTCGAATTTGAGTTTTTTTTCTGGCGCTGGCGCGCCCAGATAGGAATATGGATTGTGGCCCCGCGGTTTTTGGCGCTGGCGCTCCCAGAATTGTTTCCTCAGCGCGATTTCGCAGGTTCTGGTGTTTGCGATTTCAGCGTCGAATTTCAGAGCATTTTCGGAGTCGGCTTCCGTCGCTGCCGCCCGCCGCGGTCCCCCTTGATTCAGGCGGCGCGACAAAGCGCGAAGATGGGGCGCGCGCTCGCCAAGCCAGGCTGACACGCATTGCTGCGGCGGCTACAAATGGCACCCCGGCGCCCCCCGCCCTGCGGGGCGCCCGAACCCGCGGGGAATGGGGGGGGGGGCGCCGACGACGCGGGGCCTTCGGGGTCGGATGTGCGCAGGCGGCAGAAGCTAGTCCTTGCTGGGGGGGGCACTGGCCAACCCCCCACCCGCGCGCAACGGGGGCGGGGGTGCTTCGCGCTAGTGCATCACGCCCGCCCCCGACTGGCCCCGAGGGCCCTGAATCCAAAATGGCACGCGGTGTAAAGTCCACGCTGGCGCCCTTTCACCAGCGTGCCCAGAATGAAATTATGGTGCGCCCGCTGAAGTGCTTGTCCTTGGGCTGAAAATCCGATGGGTTTTGACGGGGGTCCGCCCTGTGAGATGCGGGGGGCTTTTCGGGCCCACCCGAAGTCTAGTAGTCCAGAAATGGTCTGCCGAGTCAGCGTGGGATGAGCGGAAGGCCCCTAGCATGCTGCCGCTTTGCTCGACGGTGGCTTCGCAGCGCCGAACGCAATTTTCTGTTTGTTTTGGCCCGGCGGAGGGGGGGGGCAGGGAGATCCGCGCAGCTCCCCCGGCCGTTGAGCGGTCGAAAGGGGGGCGACTGGGGGCGGCGCGGCACGGCTGCAGCGCGCATGGTTTCGCGCTGGAGGTGACCTGAGTGGCCCCCTTGGCCGCGAGAGACGCCAAGGGGGGTCGCTGGGAAGCGCGGGGCGTTGAGAGCTGTGCGAATTGGTTCCCGCGGGAGGCGGATCGGGGCGGAGGACTTTCTAACCTTCCCCCTTTCTCCCTGGGCGTGCTCGGGCTCAAACCGCAACGGAGCGGGCGCTGCCGGTGGCGGCCGAGTGCGATCGGGCAACTGGTTGCCGGGCGCAGATGGGAAAGCCCGTGGGGCAAAAGCACAATGTGCGCCCATATCCTGCGCAGGGTGCCATCCGCTGCTATAGGCGGCCCCAGGCATTGTCAAACATCTGCAGCGTTTCCTACGCGCCCCGCCCTGCTTGTGCCGAGCCCACGAGGGTGGGTCTTGCCGCTCGAGCCCGATGCCGCGCAGGCCTCGGTTGCCACCGCGCCCAGAGGCAAGCTCTCGGCCTTGTCTAGCGCAGACGCGGAGAAGTGGATCCAGTTCGTCGCAGACGCGAGTCAGCGAACATGCCACACATAACTTATTCTACGGAAGTGTGGCGCGCCTCCTCGCGGCACGCATGGGCTCGGCGGTTCCAGCGGGTTACGCCAACGCACAGATGCGCACCGTGGTCATCGATGGGTTTCGTTCTGGGGCCATGCCGTTCGAGGGCGATGGCGACGCGCAGCGGAAAGATGTCAAGGTCACGCCAGCGCACGTGGCAGCTGCAATGAGAGCGCAGAGCGCCGCCGCTGCACTGGACGAGCGCATCGCAGACGGGCCCGTCGCCAGCGGGCCAGTGGCAGCTGATGGCTTGGCAGAGAACAACGCAATAACGAATGCTTGAGTTTCAATCTCCAGGGCCGCCTTAGCGAGCTTGGTCTCAGTTGCTTGCCGAAGCATATGATCCCGTCCGAGGAATCACCACTTCGGTTGGAGAAGGCAAGCAAGGTTGCCCGAGAGTAGGGGCGGCTGTGCATTGACTCAGCAGAGGGCGAAGACCTCCAGGCGTCGTTTCGACCGTCTTGGCCTCGCACACCGAAGATCGATGTCGCCATCGGCGACGGAACCATCGAAGAGAAATTGCAAGGCGCAATGGAGGCAATGAAAGGGGGGGCCATGGATGACAAGACGGCTGACCTTGGGTTTGCGACGTTCTACGGCCTCATCCTTGATTGGGGTGTCAAGAGGGTCCTAGCGAAGGTGATCACAGCCGCCAAGTTGCTCGCGTACCAGATGGCCATCACCCGAGTGGCTGGAGAATCTGGGGTTTTCGCGCGCGCTGCGACTTGCTGCTGAGGCAGACGCTCGCCCGCGCATTAGAGCGGGGAGAAAGCGATCAGATCGGGGAGCTCCTGGGCGACTTGGACAGGGGCGCATGGCCGACGCCGGGAACATCGCCGAGAAGCGGGTGTCAGTTGTCGCGAGGGCAGCCGCTACAGCGGGCCATAGCTCAAACTCGCAGCATTCCCAGGCGGCACCAGGCGAGGGCAGCGGCAAGGGCCCTGCCAAGAGCAAGGGGGCAATCCACCCCGCGAGCGTCGGCCGCCAGGTGCGTTCGCCTGCGCGGAGGTCATCTAGCTGGACCTCTCAGCAGTGGGACAGCAAAAAGTGGGACAAGAAGTGGGGCAACAAGAAGTGAGATGATTCCGACTCAGGTCTCGAATCGTCCGAGAATCTTTCAGACGCAGTTTTGGATTCGGTTGGATTTGCCACCGGTGTCGACGAATTGCGGGCTGAAGTGGACAGTTTGCTGCAATATGTACAAAGGCTTAGCTGCGTGGCACCGAGCCGTCACATAGATTGGGCGCGCGGCCTCCCACCTTGCGCGGGTGCTTTTCGCTTGTGCGACAAGGCGCACTCGCGTGCCTTCTACGAGTGCGGATGCAGGCGCGACTTGCGCACTTTCCGCGCTTCTGCTCTAGCTCTGGCGCGAGTGCAAGCGTGTGACGGACAAAGAATGGCAAATAGATATTGGGAACTCCCAGCGCGCGTGCAAGCCGTTCTAGGCCCGGATTACAACTTGCGGTTGTTGGCAGAGATGCTGGTGGCATCTGGATCTCTGACGTGGAGTTGGCGGCTGATTCAGCAGCGGGTTTCAAGTTGTTCGAGGTAATTCTTCCGAGCGGCACGCTGCCAGCATAATCGCCTGTCGCGCCTCTGCCATTGGGCCAGTCGCGGGCGCGCGCGTCCGCGACGAACGCAAAGGTGATTTTGAGGGCGGCTTCTTCTACCTTGTTAGATGGCGAAGCGGCCGCGTCTTTGCGCGCGCAAACAGAGGGCGAGGTCGCAGCAGGCAATGCGAGGTGAGCACCGCTGTCAGCCGCTCTAGACGATGTCTCCTGCTTTCCCTCCTTTGGAGCTGACGAAGGTTGGAAGTTTAAGCGCGGCGCTGTTGTCCGGGCAGTTCGCGCCATTGATGATTTCCACGCTTCGGGAATCGCTGGAGCTACTCAGGTGTCGGAGCGCACTGGCCGCGATGATCTCGACAACTTGGTCGCGGTGGGCCAGCTTGTCCGGCAGAGCAGCCCCGGACCGATGCGCCGGCGGAGGGGTGGCGTTGCATGCGCGTATAGAACTCTGCCCATGCGGACAGAGCACTTGCCTTATGCTGCGGCCGTTGCAGAGGACGCAGCGCGTGCCGGCGTCGCGTTGCAGCGTTTCTCTGTCCATTTGGGACGCTCTCAAGTGTGCGCTCCTGGCGCCGCGCGGGGTTTCCGATCCAGCGCATGTTGGTGCAACTTCGCCCGCATTTTGCATCCACGATTTGTTGATGATTTCTTCGGCATTGATCGCGGGGCGCCAGAGGGTGCCGACCTCGCAGGGCCCGCAGGCGCCGCCATCCTCGCGCGCGAAATTCGCGCAGAGGCGAAGACCGCAACAGCTGCCAGCGACGCAACTGTTCTCGGCATCCACGTCGTGTTGGATGACGCAGGAGAGCAATGATGCTCGCAATGGTTTGCAGAGGTTGAAGCAATCCTAGCTGCAGGCGTGCTTGTGCCAGCGGCAGCGCAGGAACTGGCTGGCAAATTGAGCTGGGGGGCGAGCGTGGCGCTTGGCGAGAGCGCGAGGGTTTACCTCGCAGCTTTGTTGCACCATTCAACGCCGCGGTCCTCGAGGCTGTCTTTGCGCTTGCGCCGTGCTCTGCAATGGTTGCTACGTTTTCTCCGCTCGAAGATGCGCCGTGCAATTTCCTATGCGCCGGCGTTGCGTCCCCGTGTGATTTTGCACGCCGGTGCCGCGGGGTGTCGAGCCCTCGCGTGGGTGCTCGCGCACGATGATTTTAAGGTGTTTGCTCGTGCGTGGGCGCCCCCGTGGCTTCGCAATCGGGTGAAACCGCGCAGACAGAAAATCGGCGCATGGGAGCTGATAGCGGCGGTGTGTGGCTTACGGCACGCTTTCTCGCAGATGCCACATGTTCTGGAGATTCTTGATTTCGTGGATTCACATCCAGCGCTAGGCTCGCTCGTCAGGGGCGCATCGAAGCAGGTCGATTGGAACGCGTTAGTGGCGTCGATCTGGTTTGCCGCGGCGCAGCGAGCCGACGTTCTCTGTTCTTTCAGAGTGCCCTCGGCTCAGAACTCGGCAGACAAGACCCTGCGAAACTTGATTTTTACTTGGGCAAGGTTTCAAGGAAGTCCAGTGGCATCGGCCAGGGTGCGGCGCGTGGGACGTGTCGCGGTCGCCAGAATTTGTCGCGAGTGGAAAAAGATGATTCTCTGGGTGGCCCAGGGGAGAAAGAAGTGCGCGGTGCCTCTGGGGGGCCCGAGCGCAAGCCCCTGAGGCCGGGCAGTGCTGGCGCCTCCAGAATTTTCCCCAGAGACCCTGACGGTTGCGTCAGCGGTCGCGCTAGCATGTTTGCGTTGCGGCGCTTTTCTTTGTCTGTGGTTATTGCGTTTGGCGCTTTCTTGGTGGGAAGGCGCCCCAATGCTGCAGGCGCCATGGAGTCCCATGGAGACCCCATCATGGCCCAAGACTTATCCTGAGCCCCGGCGATCGGCGCCCGCGGGGGCCCGCGACGGGGGCGACGATCGGTAGCGGGCGCGGGCGTGCCTGTCAGTAGCCGCGGGGGCCCAAGCGTTTTGCTATGGTCTTGCAGTTCGTCAATGCTCCCCGGCGCCGTTGCCGGGGCGACGAGGGGCAGCCTTGTCAAGTGCATTGTATGGAGATCCCGTCAGCCCGTTCCAAAGCGTCTTGGCTGGGGCACCGCCGTCTTGCCGCCCGCCGTCGTCCGACTTCGCGTTGCAAGCTATGACAGACAGCGGCGCAGTTCACAGGTGCGACTCCACGGCGCGGCGCTGGACGAGATGCGGGGGATATGGTCTCCTTTAGCTGATCTCACCGACGAGCTTCTGCGGGCGATGGCGTGGTGTGGCGCGCGTCCAGATGTCGAAATTCCGCACGTGTGCTGCGCCTACGCAGAGCAGTGCTGTCGGCAGCGCCAAGCGGTGCAGGCTGGCAGAGGCGCCTAGTGCGCCTGCCCCGACGCTGGCAGGGCGGTCCGCGGGGCCTGCCGCCGGTGAAGTTTCGGCGGCGATTGATGTCTTGGCGCAGGCGCGTGCTCAGAGAATGGCGCCGCCAGAAGAGGCTCTTGCTCGGGCCATTTCTGTTGTCTGCAGGGTGGATGGTCCTTTGTTGCCACGCGTCGCTGCGGAATTAGCTCTGCCATCAGTTCGCGCAACTTGGTTGGCGCATGTCCCTGCGGAGAGACGCGCGCCTATTCTACGGAACCAGCCGTTGCTAGCGGGGCGGGGCACGCGTCCGCCATCCGCTTGCGGGGCAAGCTCGCGGCGGCCAGGCAGCGCTGGCAGCGCTGGCGTTCGCGGCGCCGCGCGCCCCCACGCTCTCCCGGCATTGTTCCCACCCGTGGTCTACACTGCGGCTTCTACAGACGCCTCTGGGAGCTCTTGCAGACGCGAGTGCCCTTGTAAGAGGCGCTATGAGGAGCCGCGGCGCGGCGCCGCGTTCGAAGGCCAGCGCGTCGGGCCAGCAGGGGCAGGAACTTGCGGAATGCGCCCGGGATGTGCTGCGTGGCGCAGAGCTGGCCGACAGCGACATTGCACCTTGCGCTACGGTTGTGAAGTGTTAAAGCTCGGGGCGCCAGCGTTGCGCTCGGAGATTGCACGCAGTGCGCGCGGGGGCACCCCAGAGGTCGCGATGCTATTCCACAAGCGGAGAATGCAGGACAGGTCGGTGCATGTAGTGGGGCAGTGCGCGCGCCGAACGCGCGGTCCGGCATTGCGTGGCGCGCGCGCTCTTCGCAGACGCAGTGAGTGCAGGCCATGCTTTCCAACGCTGCGAGGAGACAGGGCTTTGGCAGCCCTCAGAGCCTCATCGCTGGCGCTCGGCTTCCCGCGCGGGGCCGAATGGGGAACCCGCTGCTTCCACCGAGGGTGAGCCAACGATGCTCTTCGGCAGGGCGGTGCGCCCGCGTTGTTTCACTCAGGTGGCTGGCGTGGATTTGCCGCGTTTGGCTGCGCATCAGCGCAGACGAAAGGGTGAGTCTTGGCCGCAAAGCGGGCCGCTGTTTTTTCGGATTCGTCAGACAGTGATGTCGTGGATTGTTGAAGGAAGAAAATAGTTCAGCTGCGTCTGGCTGGCGCCTTTCCGACGCGCGCATGTTCCAAGGCTCGAGACGCCGACGTTGGGGCCCAGAGTGACGCGCGAGTCGAGCCTCAACAAGGGCAGCCTCGCTTGGGGGCTCGCTCGCCCGCCGCGCCTGCAGCGTCTTGTCTGCTGTCCCAATGCAGACGCGCCCACCCCAACGGAGACTGAGAAGATTTTCTTACCCCCTAAAAGTTCTTTCGCATGGGGGAGGAAAATTGGCGCTTCGGCCGCAGTCTCTCAGGGTTGGTGGTTTAGTCCGTTTGGGAAATTGCATGGTTTTCCTCATGGCCTGGGCGGCTCCAATCAGGAGCGGCGGTGTCGGCGCGCGTCGTCGGTGCACCCATGGTGCGCGGGTTGCCGCCCGGCTCGGGGGCGTTGTAGCAAGTTCCCGGCATCCTCGTCGCCACGGTCGCCGTGGCCGCGCGGACGCGTTCCTGGCGGACTTGGTTTTTTGTCCAATGCGCGCGCCTCCTCTGTCCCTGCGGGGAGTGCCGCGGCTCTGCCGGGCTGGGCCAGGGAGGCTTGGCTCCGGCGGCTTTGGTGCTGCCGTTTTTGCCCGCCCTCCCTTCCTGGTGGGTGTGGTTCGCTGCTTCCCGCGCAGACAGCGGTGTCTTGTTGGGGTGTGGGTCCGGCGTGTCGGGCAGCCTCGGTTGGGGGCTTGTTCGCCCGGGTCTCTTATCCTCATGAACCTTTGTTTTGGTCGTTTCGTATGCTTTCTTATTATTCTTCCCATCGTTTCCATGCCCCCTTGTTGCCTGCCCCCTGCTCGTCGTCCTCCGTTTCTTCGTCGTGCTTTTGCGTTTCGCCACATTCGTCGCCGCTCTCACGCCGCATCGTCGTCCTCGCCCTCTGCTTCCTGCTCCTCCGCCTCCTCGTCCTTCTCGTCTTGGCCCCAGCGATGTCTTGTCTTAGGGGAGCAAAAAATGGCATAAACATAAAAACTCGGAGGTTCGCGCGGATTTCTCGGATCGGCGCTGGACCCCGTTCCCTGGCGCGCGGAGCGCGCCAGGGGCGGCGCCGGAGGCGCCGCCGGGGGTCCCCCGTGCCGATCCGAGAAATCCGCGCGGACCTCCGGGTTCTTATGTTTATGCCACTTTTTGTTCTCCTCCAAATTTTTTATGTTTATGTCATTTTTTTGTTCTCCTATGACTAGTGCTTAGCACGGCCCCTCAGAAATCCCGACCCTCTCCCCGGGGCAGGTTTGCATCCCGAGCTGTCTTGTGGACGGCCCCGGGGCCCGGCAAGGGCCCCCCTGGAGGCCGAGCGCGGCCAAAGCCCTCGCGCCGTTTTCCATCACGACGCGTCCTTCTCTTTTTTTGCTTTTCCTCCTCCTCCATCTCTTCCTCCTTCCCCTCCTCCTCCTCCTCCTCCTCCTCCTCCTTTTCCTCCGCCTCCTACTTTCCCTGTCTGAGTCCTCCTCGTCTCGCTGTTCCTCTCCCGCGTCGTCCTCCGCCCGCCCCCTGCGCGGGCTGGAGCAGGATCTCAACGGCGGCAAGGACGTGAAGGAACACGAGGCGGCGGGCACCCGAAAAAAACATGTGCCTGTCGTCAGGGGAAGACAGGGTACTCTGATTGATACCGATCAGGAGGGAAAACATTCACAGGCACTGTTAATCGTCAGTTCCTTTCGAAGAAAATGTTGGGAACTATTGGAAGTGGGGGGGAAGTCGAGAATCCAGGCAATATGAGGAAAGATTTGGAATGCTGGGATTTCTATGTATTTAGTTGTGTGTCCCTGGGCCGTCGACCCTTCCATCGTTTTCGCCTTTTCGGGCCTCCTTGGAGGCCCTCGTCGCCACGGCCGGGTTCGCCTCCTAGGTTCTGGCCACAACGCGACGAGGGAGAGGTCCAGGGAGTGGCGGTAAGGTTGCCGTTTGGTCTCTTCGCGTTTCGGGGAGAAGGGGGGAGGAGGGAGAGAGAGAGAGAGAGAAAGAGAGAGAGAGAGAGAGAGAAAAAAGAGAGAGAGAGAGAGAGAAACACGCAGTGGCGAAGCGTCCTGGCGTGCCTGTAGGTCCACCAACGGATGTTCTAAGAACTTGTTTGTGGTTTGCGCGAAGTGTTCTCAGAACATTTCTCGCTGAAGCCGTCCTGCTTTAATGCATCGGGTCCTTGTTCTGGGAGCATCGCGTTTGTGCTACTTGCTTGGGTTCTGAGACAAGCCGTGGTAGGCCGACATGAGTGCTGATCAAGGAGGGAGAGAGGAATATAGACACTTGGGACACGTGCAGGCCGCGGGCCAAGCCGACAGCCCAGCGGGCGGCGTGCCAGGCGGCGACGGGTAGCCCACTTCCCCATCTCCCCCTCCCTTCCCCCCTGCTGCGTTTGCACGTCTTCAGGAGTTGCTGATCTTGGCACCGCTCGGACGTGTGCAGGTGTTTTTTCCCCGACGGGGGCCATCGAGGAGCATTTTATTTTGGGTTATGCTGCGAACGAAATGCACGCACGACGTCGACACATTCACGGGTAATGGACGTCCGAGCGATGGCAAGTGATTGGAGTGCCAGAGAGGAAGAGAGAGAGAGAGAGAGCTACTTTTACGCAGAAACAACGGTTTCACTACACGGACGGTCGCGCGTAAGCTGCCCGCTTAAGGTCGCGTGTGCGCGCCTTCGTCTCCCATGTGGCGTGCCGCGCTGGCGGCCCGCCTTAGCAACAGCGTCCGTTGGGTCGCTTTGCCGTCGTGCGTAAGATGGAGACCGAGATTGTGAGAGAGAGTGGGAGAGAGAGGTTCGGGGGGCATAGGGAACGGCAGGGAGAGAGAGAGAGAGAGAGAGAGAGAGAATTCTATTTGTATGCATCTATGAATCTGTTCGTGTGCATACATATTCATCTGAGAAAGGGGAGTGGGATGAGAGAGCGGAGTATGAAGAAAAGGAAGGGGAGGGAAAGGGAGGGAGAGGCAGTGGAAATTCGGAGTGGATTATTTTTGTATATAAATACACATATACAGGTAGTATATCTACGATGTGCGGCGATATACACATATGCAACAAGGAGGAGAGGGGCCGTGTGAAGGGGGGACAGTGGGTTTGTTCTGGCGCGCGTCGTGCCCCAGATGTATCGCACCGAATGCATCTGGCCTCGTGCAGCACGCCGTAGTTTTGGAAAGGATGTAGCGGCCTCCCATCCCCTTCCCGTCATCCCCCACGTGCCCGTAATCTCTCTCTGCTCTCCCCCTCACCCTCCCCATTCAGTTTCGCCCCCTGGCCGTCATCCCCCTTCCCCCTGCTCCCTCGTTCTGCCGCTTTGACCTCCCCTTAGGAGAAAATATAATTCTACATGTGCACCGATGCTGGCCAGGCCCATGCTGGGTTCAGGATCGGTGCGCACTCCCCCATGGTGCTGTCAGGGAGGTGGGTGCGTGGGCCTTTGAAGGGCGTGGCCAGGATCGTTGTATCTAAGCGTGTAAGTGTGTAAGTGTGTGGGTGTCTGTGTTTGTTTTGTGTGGGAGTCTCTGTGTGTCTGTGTGTCTGTGTGTGCCGATGTGTGTGGTTATTATACATGTTTCAGCCTCTCCTCCTCCTGCGCCTCGGTCTCACGTCCCTTGCCCTGCTGGTGCTCTGGCTCGCAAGGCCCTTGGGTTAGTCGGCGCGCTGGCCGCGGGCGCGCGCGATTCCCCGTAAAAGGAATGAGAGCGTGTTTTTTCTTAGCACGGGTCCCTTACTTGCACTTCGTGTCTCCCTCTGTCTTCCATCCAGGACCCCCGTACATTTCACAGTGGCAGCGGGGCCAGTGGTTTAGATCCACAAGAGAGGGATCAGGCTGACTCCTCCCGCCAACAGATTCTCGTGTGACGTAACACCACGTATTCACCCGTTTTTCCCGTTTCCCACCCTGTTTTGCCGAGCGCCGCCATGGATAGCCAAGCCGACGCTCAGCCACCAGAAGACGAATTTCGTGATGATCCTTGGTTTCAGCAAGGACAGGATCCATTGGCAGGAGGCGGGGGGGAGGGAAACGTTCCCTGTGATGGTGATGACGAGGTGGGCTGGTCATATCATGGCTGGGCCCGTTGGTTCCACCAACAGGGGGCGGATACACGGCCCAATCTGCAGTCATCTTCATCCTGTTGAACCCCGCGGGGTCGTAGCGGTCGTAACGCGCCGGCTTGACCAGCTCGGCTGAACACACCCTTGCGGGGGGCGGCTACGCCGGTCACTTCGACTTACTGGGGGGGTGGCGTTGCTGCCCGATTTCCTGATCGACGGAGGGGAGAATTTCTAGAACAACCAGAGGCCCCAAACATACCGAACGATTTACATCCCACCTGGGATGGACAACTTCCTGGTATCTGGCTATATCCCGGCATGGAGGAGCTGCAGATGTGGCCGACAACTACCAGAATTTTGAAGAGGCGACATGGATGTCGTATCTACAACCACGCGAGGGACGATCTCAATATCATGACCAACGACCTCACCGAAGAACTGTTGTTTTCGGAGGACAGCGGGCAGGTAGTGGTCAAATGTATTCATGGAATGAGTATTTGTCGCATTTCAGTGGCCGCCAAGGACAAGAAGGGTATGATGAACATGAGCCATGTCATGAGGATGTCCACGGGACTTCCATGCAACAGTCTTTCTTCACCCTGCCAGGCGTTGGCGGAGAAGACGACATGTTGAATGAGGCTCTCATGTACCTGGATGATGGAAGGGTGCTCTTCGTGGCCGGATACATGCCCGAGGGTGTGATGCTGGACGAAAACGAGGCGATTGCCATCTACGCCAAGTTAAGTCAAGTTCGCCAATCGCCAAGTCCGCACAAGCGGAAGTTGGGGCGAGGCTTTTTTGAACAGCATCCGCCGAAAGGCAAGCCCAAAGGCCCCCGCAAAGGAAACCGTCGGGGGACACGGACTGGGCATGCTCTACCAAAACGCTGGACCAAGAAGAAGCTGATGAGCCGCTCTAAGTGCGCCCAGCGCGGGAAGATGGGGCCCGGGGCTTGGGACAGCGAGCGAGCCAGAAGAGCGAGGGCGCATGCGTCAAGCAGGCTTCGGCGGCTTCCAGACCGCCCCATCGAGGCAGAGACTGCTCCACGGGATGCCCATTAACAGGAGCATGCGGCGCAGTTAGGAGTCAGTTCTTTCACCTTCACGGCTTTCGCTAGCACGGACGACATTGGGGGGACTTCCATCGGATTTCAGGTCCATGTAGGCTTCGGCTTGGTGGCTATTGGAGCTCAGCGCGGAGTCTGTGGCAGAGATCAGTTTGAGGAAATGGCGCGATATATTGCTTACGTCCTGAAGCCCGCCCAGATAACGTTTCCTGAGACGGACGCCGCGGGCGTTGTCGGATCGACAACGTTGCTCTCCAGCTGGATTTTGCCCGTCGGCGTGGCGAAGAACTGCGTGTGCTCCGCAGTGCACTTGGTTGCACTGGACGTGCAATTCTGCCCCGTGTGGAAATGCCACGGCAGCTTGGCATGGCCCTTGGCTTGCAAAGGGGGGCGCCATCACATGGAAAGCGCTCGACGGCAGCCAGTCGAGGCTATCTGAAGTGGGCTCAGGCAGACACCTAGTGATCAATATCTGGGGTTCGCCCGACGATGGTTGGCAGAGAAAAAAGAAAGTGTGAGTTGCATCTCCGAAGGCGCAGGGAGATCACCAAACTGCGGAGCCTGAGGGTGCCGCACGTTGCCCTCGCCACAAGCCAGTTTTTCGCAGCCAGCTCTCGCCTCGCCTGACATCTCTCGCGACGTTGGGCCGCGCGGAACGCACCTTCGCCGAGAAGGAGCCGCAGTCGGAGTACCGCCCGGGCGCCGCGAGGTCCAGTCAGCCCCTGGTGATTCCAGAGATGCGGACGTCGAAATGGTACCATCTGTACCTCGAGCTTCTGACCATCCTGGACCATGCGGCCATGAAACGTCGCACGGAAGCACGCGCTGGCACGAAGGCGCACAAGAACTTGTTCGGGGAGGCCAGGAGTTTGGACAACGAGACTGTTCCGTCCACACTTCAGCCGCGCTACCCGAGACCTTTCTCTCGAGCCTCGAAGATCAACACAGGGAGTGGTTCGCGGTCGGCAAGATATTGCTACCGGACGGAACCAAACCCAAGAAGGCAAAGCAGGCCGTGTTCTCGCATCCCGAGAAAGCCATGCGCCAGCTGGACAACACCAAGGTCCTCTGGTAGGCGTGCGACGAGTGCCAGGTGCGCTGGGCGAGGCCCCTTGTCGAGGGATCCATTCGGACTGGCGCGCCGTGCGGCGAGGAACGGGTGATTCAAGGAGATCTGCAAGGAGGATTCCCAATATTGCGACTAGCGCATGAGGACTCACGAGTCAGGCGAGCCGGCGACGCAGGAAGGGCTCAGGCGCCTGGCGAAGTACGTGGCCGACCGCGAGATGCACGAGAATATCGTGGACGGGGGTGATTTCAGGACAATCGTGGAGGAAACCGATCTCCGAAGCATGCCTGGGCAGGAAATGTCCATAAAGGTCGCAGGGCGCATTTCCGAGTACATCGCGAGCCCCGCGACAAGCTCTTCACGTCTTCCGGCGATGTCGGCCCACCTTCTGCAGATGAAATGACCGACGAGCGGAGGACAGACCGCCCAATTTCGGCACACCCCTCGCACGCTTCGTGTCCCCATAAGGAAACTCCACCTAAGGTCCCGGCGTCGACGTCCACATGGCGGCGCCCCCCCATTTCGGCACACTTTTCACACCAGCTCCACCTAAGGCCCCAGTGGCGTCGTCCGCATGGCGGCGCCGCCCCATGCGGGACACCCCTCACGCGCTTCGTGGTCCCACAGGGAGCTCCACCTGAGGTCCCAGTGGCGCAGTTCGCATGGCGGCTCCGCCCCATTTCGGCACACTCCTCACGCGTTTCGTGGCCCGCTAGGGAGCCCCACCTGAGGTCCCAGTGGCGCCGTCCGCATGGCGGCGCCGCCCCATTTCGGCACACCCCTCACACGCTTCGTGGCCCCATAGGAAACTCCACGTAAGGTCCCAGTGGAACAGTTCGCATGGCATGGCGGCGCCGCACCATGTTGGCACACCGTTTGTGGCCCACCTTCCGTTTGTGCCCTTGACTCGCCCTTTGCCCTTTGCTGGCGAGGGCGGCTCACCCCAGTGGAAGGGTACACCTGCGACCTATTCCCCAATTCGGCAAACTCTTCACACGCTTCGTGGCCCAATGAGGAGATCCACTGGAGGCGATACCCACAACCGCGGCACGCACGACTGCATAGGCTGGGCCCTTCGCCAAACTATCTTTTCTTTCCCTGCCAGCATTACTCAACGCTCCTTGTGGCAGTCGTCTGACGGCCCCCTCTGGCCCTCGCCCGCCCCCCCCCCGCCTGCGGCGGCCGCCCCCTCCTTTGCGCGGCCGCCGCGCCAGCTGGAAATGGTCATGAAGGAGGCCGACGTGACCCAGCGGGGGGCGGGTGCGGCGCAACGCACGGCGCGGCGCCCGCTAGGAGAGGCCGTCCGCTCTCCGCCCCCGGCCCCTCGCCGCCGAGTGCCGACGCCGACGCCACCGCCGACGCAGTGTTCCCGCTACTGCCCCCGGCCCCCCGCTCATCCTTCCCGCCCTGCTCCTTCCTCGTCGTCCTCCCTCCTCGTCCCTCCTCGTCCCCTTCCCGCCCTCCTCCCTCCCCGTCCCCCTCCTCCCTCCTCGCCCCCTCCTCCCTCCTCGGCCCCTCCTCCCTCCTCGTCCCCTCCCTCCTCGTCCCCTCCCCGTCCCCTCCAGGATGGTTTCCGTTCGCCGGGCAGGGCGGGACACCACCTGCGGTCCCCACGGCCGGGAGTCCACACCTGCGGTCCCCCCCCCGTATGAGGGAGGGGCCCCGGGCGGCGCTGTGAAGCTCGACGCTCCCTCCTGCCAGGTCGATCCGACCTGATCGATTCTCGTCCCCTCCTCGCTCCCCGGGTGCTCCGCACGGGTGGCCTTCGCGCTCTCGTCCTTCCCCCGCCTCTCCCGCTCGCCCCCCCCCCTCTTCCCCGACCTTCCCTGCGAGCTCCCGCCGCCTTCGCCCGCCTCGCCCCATCCCTCCTCACCACCCACCAAACCACCCCAACCCAACCCGAAGGCTCAGATTTACCCTCGATTTCCAGTGGGGGGGGGGGTCGGGGAACATCGAAAAAACACACATGGAACCCATACCCCCCCCAACCCGAAATTCGGGTCTTCGGGTTGGGTTGGGGTGGTCTGGTAGGTAGTCACCTCCTGCGAGCGCGGGCCTGGGGGCCGATGGGGTCCCGTGGCCGCCACGGAGTGGCCGTTTTGCGCTCCGCGCGGCGGACTGTTCTCTCTGCGGAAGACCCCCCCCGCCCTCCAAGAGGTGCTCGAAGCTTTCCAGGAGGGAAAGAAACACACAGACACAATTAATCGTCGACTCCCAGGAAAATATGCAAAAATATGGGAAGTGGTGGGGAAGACAAAAACCCAGAAAATATGGGAAAATATGGGGGATGTTTTTATTTGTGTGTATTTATTTGTGTGTTCCAGTTCCCCTCTAGCTTTCCCCGAAGACACAGGAAACGTGTCAGGAGCCGCGAGGGCGTCCGAAGAGTCCCGCCAGCCTCCCTCCCTCCTGCCCTCCGCGGAAGAGGCCTCCGTCCGTGGTCCCATCTCCGCCCGAGCTCACCCACCTTCGCGGGGGCATGATGACGACGACGGCGACGACAACGACGATGATGGTGATTGTGATGGTGATGCCGATGGTGACGATGATCATGTTGTTATTGAAGCTGCTGATGATGATGATGATGATGATGATGATGATGATGATCATGGTGGTGTTGATGAGAATGACGATGAGGATGAGGATGATGGTTATCATGATGATGATGTTGCTGTTGATGATGATGGTGGTGGTGATGGTGATGGTGGTGGGAATGATGATGGTGGTGGTGGTGGTGGTGATGGTGATGGTGATGATGCTGAGGATGAGGATGAGGATGCTCATGTTTGGGTTGATGCACATGCAGATGATGATGGTTTGATGGTGGTGATGCCGATGATGATGCCGATGGTGATGCTGGTGGTGTTGATGATGATGTTGTTGATGATGTTGATGTTGGTGGTGATGGTGATGGTGATGGTGATTGTGATGATGATGCTGATGATGATGGTGGTGACCATGATGATGATTGGGATAATGATGATTATGATGATGGTTGGTTTGATGGGTGCGATGATATTGTTGTTGATGATGATGGTGATGGTGATGCTGACGATGGCGAGGACTGAGATGATGCTGACTTGGCTGATGCTGCAGATGGTAATGATGACGACGATGACGATGACGGTGTCGATTCTGATGATGGTGATGTTAGGGTTGTCGATGGTGATGCTGATGCTGTTCATGATGATGACGGTGACGAGGATGAGTATGATGATGAGGATGAGGATGACGATATACACTATGGTGATGCTGATGGTGATGGTGCTTATGCTGATGGTGTTGATCATGATTGTAGTGCTGACGACGATTACGATGACGATGATGCTTATGCTGATGATGACGATGATGCTGGTGATGCTGGTGAGGTGATGCGACAGTGGCGATGATAATAGTATTGATGTGATGGTGATTAGTATGATGATGATGATGATGATGATGATGATGATGTTGATGATGATGATGATAATGATGATTAGGAGGAGGATGCCCAGGATGGGGAGGAGGAGGAGGAAGAGGAGGAGGAGCAAGGTGAAGGGGGACCAGGGGGGAGGAGAGGGAGGCGGTCGAAGAGGAACGATGAGGGAGGCAGAGGTTAATAATGTAAGTGGGGAGGAAGGATGATGAGGCAGATAATGACGCAAGACGAGGGCCATCATGTTCTTGCCCGTATGTGGCGGCTCGATTGTCTGTCGGGTGGTGTGGTGTGTGTTCGGGGGTTCCAGTGGTTTTTGACAGAGGGGGGGAGGATGGGTATGAAGAGGCGGGGGAGCAGGATGAGTAGCAGGAGGAGAGGGAGAATGAGGCCCAAGACGACGAGGAGGCATGAGTGAAGGGGAAAGGAGGATGGAGGGAGGCGGAGGGGCAGGTGAACAACACTGGCACGATTACGAAGATGGAGCTCTCCAAAGCCACGGCTGTGTGGCGCCGCCCAGAGTGTTCGTGGCAGTAGTAGCAACACTAGCAGCAGAGGCAGCACCAGTAGCAGTAGCAGCCACAGCAGCGGTAGTATCAGCAGTTCTGGCAGCACTACCAGCAGGAGGAAGCAGGGTACGACAAGTTGAGGATGAGGAGGAGGGACAGAAAGAGGAGAAGGAGGGCCAAGGCTGCGCTTCTCCAGAGGACGACGAGGTGGAGGAGGTGCGGGAGGACGGACGGCGCCAGGAGGAATGGGAATGGGAATGGGGCCCATCGCGGTGCGATAAATACTACAACCTCCTGAGGCCGCCCCCTGAGCTCACTCACGAAATAGACGAACCAGAACATGGACCCCAGCGAAGGGTACCTGAATGGAGCCTGAGGATGACGAACACCGCCGAGCATACCTAAGAGGGACACCTCACCGCACACCGATAACGTAGCAAACTTTGCTGGGATGAATTCGGCTCGATTCGGCCCCTGTGATTTGCATCGCAGGTGATCGGGCAACCTCTTACGCACACAGCGGTGAGACAAGTTCTTTTCTTCAATCTGCTATGGCGATGCTGTCTCCCATCCCTCTGAAGATTCCGAACATCATGATGGCGTCATTCGGCGGAGTGGTTTCCGACCCGCCTGATGTTTTTGTAATTCTGTCAACCCAAACCCGGATCGGAGACTACTCCGCGCCACATCTTATACATTATCGAGCAGGGTGCGCCCGCACGCGGAGTAGTCGGTGTTCACGTCGATGGTGATGGTGATGACGACGATGACCATGACGGCGTTTACGATGATGTTGGCGATCGCGATGCTGGCGACGGCGATGGTTATTCGTCGCGTCCAGTAGGGCCGCCTGTGGGGCTCCCTATGGGGCCTCGAGGCGTGTGAGCGGGGGCCAACTTTGCGAGGTGGCAGCGTGCGACCGCGGCCAGCGGGGCCTTCGGTGGAACTCCCACGGGCCGCTTGGCAAGGAGGAATCGCCGAGATGGCGAGCTGGCGGCAGGCGCCCGCATCCACGGGGGCCTTTTGTGAAGCGGCCCGTGGGGGCCACGGCGCGTGCGCGGGTGTGCGGACGCAGCGAGGTGGCGGCGGCGTCGAGGGGGTAGTCGCGCGCGCGCGCGTCCACGGCTCCGTCGAGGCCACGTCCTAGAAATCACCACCCACCAAGCCACCCCAACCCAACCCGAAGGCTCAGATTTACCCTCGATTTCTAGTGGGGGGGGGTCCGGGAACATCGAAAAAACACGTATGGAGCCCATACCCCCCCCCCAACCCGAAATTCGGGCCTTCGGGTTGGGTTGGGGTGGTCTGGTAGGTAGTCAAGAAAGTATGGAGCAGGATGCGCCCGCACGCGGAGCAGTTGGAGCGCTATTACTCCGAGCTGCTCTGCCCTGCAGCGCTATCGGCCGGGGCAGACTGAGAGGAAGTTTCGACACGGCGATGCATGTCATAAAGATCGCCTCTTCCACAGACAGCCTTGCAAGACAACAGTCAAATGTGTAGTTTCAACCCACCAGCGCCCAACCATTGAAATCAAGAGAGGAACAAAACGCACCCAGCATAGTAAATTGATATACGAGTTGATCAAAGCAATGTAGCTGATGGCGGTCGGGGCGGGCTCCGCTTCCCACACCAACACGAACACAACCCAACATTGTACAACATTGTGCAAAAGACCATTTCCCGGGATGCCCATCAACAAAGTGCAACATGACCAGATAGCAATAGCGATTGCAAAGAACCACCAGAGAATGTGCAAGACCTTCCCCAGGCGGGACTGGGAGATACACGCAATGAAGCTGATGATGCCAGATGATAGCAGAAGCGATTGCAACGCACAACCGGAAAACATGCCGTACCCTCCCCAGGCGGGACTGAGAGATACACGCGTTGAAGCTGAAGGTGCCTGGTGCGGACGTCGAACTGCTCCGAAAGGCACTGCTTGAAGTGTGCTGCTGGTTACAACCACGCCCACTCTGCTGCTCGTCGCACTCGAGGAGCCCGTCGTGGAAGCGGCCGAGGATGACGCACCGAACAAAGGCTTCCTGCATGACTGCCCGAATTCGCTCTGCTTGGCCACTGGGATCGGCTGCGCGAGCCGCGGTGCGGCAGACCCGGCGCCCCTCAAGCGCCAACGCGGGGGCGCAGAGCTAGGCGGAACTCGACTCGGTTCAGCCCAAACGGGTACGGAGTCTTGGCCCAGTTGTGCTCGAGCCCAGCGCCAGGAGGAGGAGGACGACGAGGAGGACTAGGGAGGAGGAGGAGGATGAGGAGGAAGAGGGGAAGGAGGAGGAGGAGGAGGAGGAGGAGGAGGAGGAGGAGGAGGAAGGGGACGGGAGGAGAGGGCAAGAGGGGAAATCTGGCCACGGCGGTGCGG